ATTTCGCACAGCCATTCTCTTACTAATGATGTGTTCCATTCATTATGCTATCTCTAAGGTGTGTGTTTCCCATAGTGGTCATGTTTACTACTTGGCAATGCACAGACAAGTCTGCGGGGCTCACTATAATAATGTTACCTGTGTATGTATGTGAGAGTATACTGTGCCATAGCACAGTGGTTTGAGGTTTGCCCTGTGTTGTAGATTCGAACCCCTACCAGCTGAGTTGCCCTGGTATCTCGTTGGTAGAGCGCTCGCCTAGAAAGCAGAGCGTCGTGGTTCGAATCCAACCCAGGGCAGCTCTTCTTTTTCCTTGGAGAGTTGTCCTGGGTGCAGTTGACCTGTTTGCTTTGCCTCGTTACCTCGTTGTTGTCACATACAATGCTAGAACTGGCAATTGACAAATGTGTGCATGTGATCGTCCTTGCACACGCACAAAACGTTCAAACAAGGAGGAGCTATGGGCTGTATTATAGGCAGTGTATACAAGATATACAAAATGCTGTATGTACATCCATATGGCCACAATGCAGTGGAGAATTTTACAATGCCGGTGTTTCCAACAGAAGCGTGGTGGCTGGTGTGACGCATTAAAACTCCCTAGCCTCTATACACATGTACATGCTCAACAGTACATTAAGGTAAACAACAGGTGTCTGTGCTCTGCTAGTGCAACTGTAACTCACTCTGGTGGTTTCCATGGAAGTGATGTCATGAAGCCGCACCTCCTTGTCCTCGGCTCCAGTAAGCAACTGATTGTCTCCTGAGAATGGCACAAACTGAGGGGAGGGGGGAGGATAAGAGGTGAGGAAATGGAGAAATTGTTGAGTGAGATCATTGCATTACATCATAGTTTCCTGTAAAGACACTGTTTGGAGCTCACAGCTTGGGACCAAGCTTCTTCTACAGTGCAGTGCGAAATGTTCACCAGTCTGAATTTCCTTACTATGTGAAAGAGTCTAAATCCAATGGATATCTGCTTATATACAAGGAATTGAGTACTAGAGCCTAGTATTGTAACCCCCATAATTTCTTATGGACTATGGGAGGCTATGGACATAATTATTTATGTGTCCGCAGCTGGTTAACTGTTAATCTTAGAGCTGTAAGTACAGTTACTGCATAGCTGCATTATGGCATGATGTTCTAAGGTAACCATTCCATAATGTCTGCCCATCGACTTGATCTGCCTAGACTAAAAGAGTGTCGTGCGTTCGAATCCTACCCAGGGCAGCTCTTTATCCTTCGGGGAGGGGAGAGCTGCCCTTGGTGTATTTGCTTTGCCTTGTAACCTCGCGGTCGGCATTACTGTGCTGTTGGAGTGCAAGCACAGCCTCGTAAAAACTGAAGTCCCCGTAGCTTTGAAGTCTGGACTAGTAGTACTCTTGCTGAGGCTTTTAGTGCAAGACTTGGACACGTAAGCAGTTGGTCATATATAGTGTATGCACTTCACCATGTACATATCTATCTATCTATATACCTATGGCTGGTATGCTATGAACTATAATTTCATACATGCGTAGAGCCCTCTCCCTAACTAAAATGAGGACACCTCTCTAATACAATTCGGACATCTCTCTAATATGGACACATTCTTCAGTTGGTGTGTTGAATGGAGGAATTGCACTGAACAAGTCATTTGGCGAAAGTGTGGATTGTGTACTATAAGAAACTGCTGTATTGTCTCAGGTTAACCCCTCTATAATTATACCTTGACAGAGAAGATATTCCCTGTGTGCCCTGTTGGAAGAGATGCTAATTGCTTCTTAGCGAGAGGGTCCCACACAATTGCAGTCAAGTCATCTGAGCCAGACGCCAGTAAACTATATATTGATAGTGAAGAATAGGATGAAGGAGATAGGACAAGGATGGAGGGATGTTCAAAGGGAGGGCGGGGAGCGCGAGGGATTGCGTCAACAGGGAGGGAGGGAGGGAGTGTACAAAGGACGTTCGCTGTGACGTGTGAAGAGTGCAGACAAGAGTGACGGTGAATGAAGTACGTGAGGATAAAGGGAGGGAGCAACGGCAAATGAGTGGCCGAGCGGGAAGGACAGGGAGGGAGGGCGCAAGTGCAATGAGTGGGAGGGAAGCGAAGGCCGACCCGAGGAGGCAATAGCCGAAAGGGGGGCGCGGGAAAGAACGAAGGGCAGGGGGAAAGAACACACCGTCCCCCCATCCAAGACTGTAGCAACAGGGCGGGAAGAAGACCTAGGGGAGTGCCAGGGATGGGAGAACCCCATGGGAGAAAGGGGAGGAGAGGAAAAGCGAAGTGGGAGGAAGGAAGGGAATGGGAGGGGAAACCACGGAAATGAGTGGGAGGGAAGGAAAGGGAGGGAGCAAGGGAAATGAGTGGGAGGGAAGGAAGGGAATGGGGAGAAAAACGAAATGAGGGGGGAGGAAGGAAGAGGAGGGAGCAAAGGCGGAAATGAGTGGGAGGGCAAGGAAGGTAGAGGGGGCGGAAAAGAGTGGTGAGGGGAGTGAGAAAGGGTGGGAGAAAGGCATTGAAGTGGGGGAGGGAAGGGAAGGGAGGGAGGAAGGGATGAGTGGGAGGGAAGGAAGGGAGGGAGCAAGGCAATGAGTGGGAGGGAAGGAAGGGAGGGAGCAAGGCAATGAGTGGGAGGGAAGGAAGGGAGGGAGCAAGGCAATGAGTGGGAGGGAAGGAAGGATCAAGAAAGTGAAACTGAACACCTCACACCAAAATGGTAAGGGGGGTCGGGATATTACGCATCTGCTTTGCTTTTGGGAACACAATATTGAGGGTTGGTAAGGGGTGGGGGGTTGTGGATAACAGTATCCAGCCGTTGTAGTCACAGGTGTAAGGTTCTCCCCCACTTTATAGGGGAGTCTGGGAATGAAATACTGTATACAGAAACTGAAAAGGTGTCTAAAATAATGTATTTCCTATGGCGATAATACACAGAAATGAACGCCAACACACACTGCACATTTTCAGGAAAGAGCACTACCACTGTATATATTTACCTGCCATCACTGTTCCATTCCAAGCAGTTGACACACCCCCTGTGACCCTATACACACATGACAAGCGGAAGAGGTGAATATTACCAGATCAATACTAGTAGGCGAATGCAGGGCTATTTTTGGCGAGCGTGAGCGAGCACACAATGACTGTATCTGTACGAGCCACCCTAGACTATTTACAACCTGCACCTTGAAAACCACAAAGATTGGAAAGAGGTATAGCCTCGGCTAGGCATCGAAGAGAGCAGCAAATGCCATCAAATGGACGAGAGTAGATGCGCATCGAGGATCGAGCCACATAGCTAGGCAGCATGTGTGAAATAATTCGGATAAAAAGAAGTGCGTAATCCAAACGCATGTGCAGTTGGACGACGTACGATGACATACAGTAGGAGTCAAACAACGTTTCCAGTTTCGTTCCGTTCCCGTTCGGTTGAATTCCACGTGACACGCCCTCCGCAAACACGGTAGAGACTCGCTAGCGGGGGAGCAAAACAAGGTTTTTTCTTAAACGCGAAACAACGAGAATGCAGTACCCAGGTGCTAGAAGAACTATCTTCACAGTGAGGCCTTCGCATCTCGCGAATTACGGCCCTCGCGCGAACGCATGTATGGCAAACAATTCTAAACGGAATGGAACGGAACAAATTCCGACAGTAAATGAACGACGTTTCAGAAGGGAACGGAACGAAATTGGAAACGTTTTTTCGACCCCTACTGTATAAATACACTAAGGTGGACAATAGTATACTATGTCAGCACCCAGCTAATAGACCCTTAGGGTTCACTACACTTCTCCTAAGCCTTTGCTAGAGAGGTATGATACACACTTAATTTACACATTATTCTACACTACATTATGCAGCAGCTTACCTCAAGCTCTGTGGCGTGACCCAATCTCTCCACCATGGAGGAGTGGGCGTGAGCCTTGCAAAACAGTCTCCGGTCCGATACCGGATCCACCTGGGGACATTCCCAATACAGGACACATTCATTTTTGCCACACACACACACAAGACATTTATGATCTCCTCTAGGGAGAAGGAAACCCCCCATTCACACTGAGAGGCCAATGCCCCAAAACGGACCACACCCTACAAGTGGCTGTGTTACATATAACAGACAAGGGTAAACCTTTTTGGCTACACCCAGTTTCTCTAGCTCACGTACGGCGCGCTGCCTCATGTCGAGCAGTTGTCTGATGTTGGCGGCCATCGATCCAGATCCTTCGGTAACGCAGGGTGGCCCAGCAAAGGACAAAGAGTACGTCAACCGTGTCCAATGTAGCAAACCACGCACGTTCACGTCGTCGTCAATAAGTTGTACGGACTTAATGCGCATGCGCGAGACTGGGTGCGCATACGCATGCGCGAAAATAATGGACGAGGATGACCCTTTCGAGTCTCTGCTTTTCATTGAGGACAGGTTACAGGAGCAGGGCTATGGAGAGGGCCGCGGGCACGGAGTGGCAGAGGGACTGAAGGAGGCAGCGGAAGCAGGCAAAGCTAACGGGGTTGACGTGGGGTGGGAGGTTGGCTACTATCTCGGTTTTGCCGAGACCTGGCTACGACTGTTGAAAACTAAACCACTAGAGCACGAAGAGAAGAAGATCAGGGTTCTTTCCACTCTGGTCGAGATGTTACGCAGTTTTAGAATATTGGACGTTGAATCAACAGAGTTCAGGAGAGAATTATCACAGTTGCAAGCGAAATATAAACAAACTCTAGCTCTACTGAAAGTACCTCTTGCTGCTGTCAAGGCTAAAGCTGACCTCTCTTTTTGAGTATTGGTCATACTTTTATCTGCATAATGAGGGATGTTTGTAATATATAGCTCATGGACTCATCCTTGCTCTGTCAAAATGTGTTGCATTCGTTCTTGTATGTACTCAAGAAGATATGCTTCTCATTATTCAGATATGTTCTTGATATAAACAAAGGTAGATGAACTTTTATCGAGATGAATAATTTCACTTTTCAACCAGTCCTATTCCCTGTAGGCAGGCTAGGGCGGCCTGAGCCTTGGCCTGTTTCTTGTTGGTGCTGGCCACAGCTGGCTGGAACGAACCACACGGCAGCACCACCTGCACACACACACACACACACACACGCAGAAAACAGAGAAACTTTAGTGGGTGTATATAGTGAAACTTATATCTGTTAGTGTCCTTTATCCAGAGGTGCCTTTTGTTAGGAGTTAATCTGTGCATGTGTCGTCAACGGCGACGTAAAGCAAAGCAAAGGCAAACGACACAACTACACTATACCCGGTACCAAAGAGCTGCCCTTGGTGGACTCGAACCTACGACACTGTACTCTAGCTATTCTGTACTCCATGTGAGTGCTCTACTAGCTGAGCTACTGGAGCAGCTCAGCTGGTCGGGGTTCAAATCTACAACACAATTCAACACAAGAGGCAAACCTCAAACAACTGTGCTATGGCTAATACATTAGTACGGGAGAAATTCATTGGGAGGGTCGTTTTTCTGAGGTTTGCAGCGTATATATATACCTTGTAGAGGAAGTTCATGTTGTGTGAAGGGCCGGCACTGGTGACCAGCTCGTAGTGAGGTGGGTCCCAGTGCTTCTTGGCACAGATCTCCTGCAGTGCTGACACGGGGTGCTTACCTGCGAGGGAAAGGCAACGGGATAAACCTGTCATCTAGTGAACACATCAATACTTTGGTGTTGCTCGGATCATTAGAGTTTGGGTCTTAACAGTCCTCTCAGTTAGTTATGAGCCTATGTATATATGCACATGAATCATGAGATATGAAAGCAAGGTGAGTACAAAGTGTAGTAAAAAACAGTACACCTTGAAGTACTCCCCATGTAAAAAGCATGGTATACCCATCCTTATTTCACGACCGTTCATGTGACCTCCCCATTGCCCACTGTTCACAATACGTTTCCAAAAACAATGATGCTATATACAGACTTATACACACTACATGCGAGAGGTATAATAATACATGTATTGCCAACAATGGGAGCACAGACCTTGGACAAGATGAGCAGACTTGTCTGAGGTGGAGGAGGAGGCCTTGATTGCGGAGGCTGGAACAATAGCCTGCGACTTGTCCTGTTGTGTACTCAGACCTACACCGACAGACTGTGTAACTTAACCCTTTCGCAACCAAACACTGTGCCAAATCTATGACACTGTTTACAGTATTCTAGTTTGGTTGTATATAGTATGCCACATTGCCACCAGTAGACTACACTTGCAAAATTTGGAATGCTGCATCCTCAGCCAGTTATCGGTACAGTTACTACTTTTCAACTTTCCTACGTATATTCCATGATAATTATTCACCAACACAAAATGGTTTTTAGTGTGCTACAATTGGTGGCAAACTGTTGCTTTTAAGCGATCAGTGAAAGATTTTGCCACGACCATTTCTCTTTTAGTTAGAAGAACTGACCAGCTCTGTCGATCTTGACACTCATGGGGATGGGTTCAGTCACTCCCTTCCCCATTTTCCCAAGCGGCTGACCCTCGCTCCAACCCATCTTCTTCATCACCTTAATCCCAAACCCACTCAGAACGGGGGCCAACCCCTTGAACATGTCCTGAGCGAATGTGTAGGGAGGGAGGGAGGGAAGAGAGAATAGTGTGTAGTGGTGTAGGTTAAACGTGTGAGTCACTACATGTACGTATATGTAGCGTTCTTGCAGCTAGTTGCGCTGCTAGCGCACGGATTTAGCGCAGAGACGCATACGTCCATATATATTGACACAAAGAATGTAATTAGTATATAAGAATGTTCTAGAGGGTCAGAGGTTACGTATATACCTCACTGTGCATTTGTGTGTTGACACGTGCGTGAATGTGTGGACGTGTTGCACATTGAATGAATCCGGAACATTAACGGCTTACACAGCTATGGCTGTACGAAAAAATATGGATCATGGTTTACTGCTTTCTATTGTCTAGTCTAACACGTAGCCATGTTCCCTTCAATAACAACATAATTTTTTATCACAGCAGTCCAGCTCAAATACACTAAGCACTGAGCTACAACTCCCAAACAAAACTCGGTGTTTTCTTTCCCCCCCTAAATTACTGCCGTGTTAGGGTATTAGGGTATTTCCTATCTCATAACCTCACTCTGGTAGCCGTAATGTGTGCAAGCCAATCATCACCAACTAAGGCCAACCAATCCAGAAAAGGAAAAAGTTTAACTACATGTTCAATGTAATAATGTGTTGTATGTATTACCTTTTTGACCCATGCTTGAAGTCCAGTCTTGTGATCGCCTGGTGTCAGAGCATTCAGTTGTTTCCTCCCCGTATATTGACCTGGTTTCACTATTGCTGCTGATGCCTGCAGAGAGCACTCTGTGTAAGGCTAGGTTCACAGTTTGTCGCATTGCCCCATCGCACCGTGCCACGTTGCCTTGTCGCTCGCAAGGATAGAATCCATTTCTATCTCCGCAGCACAACCCGGCACGGCACAACAGCCACTCCAGCCAAATAGTTGTTTGATACACATTATAGAGCTGTACTATTACTCATTTTCAAGAAGACATGACTTAACCCGACCCCAATCTGGGAATGGCACTGTTTGCTTCGATTATTTTATAAAGCCTAGCCTTCCCTATGCTGCACCACACTGCAAATATGCTCCAGCATGCAGTGTAAAATGTTTATCGGCAGGTGAAAAAAAATCGACAAGGATGGGATTCGAACCCACGCGTGCATAGCACAATGGATTAGCAGTCCATCGCCTTAACCACTCGGCCACCTTGTCTGGATGATTGGGAAGTAGTAAACTCTCAGCATGCAGCGAGCTGACTCTGACATAATAGCATCTTCACAAAGTATATACAGTGTATACAGTTTTAAAGGTGACACAAAAGTTACAAAAGCTGCCCTTTTGCAATTTTGTCACATGTGTTGTACTATTATACCTGGCTCTCGACGAAAGTCAGCATTTGCTGGGCCTCAAGGTCTAGTGGGTTCTGCTGCAGTCTTTGACTGGCCTCCAATCTCTTCAGAGCCAGCTCACCCAGTCCCATGGTCGGCTGCAAACATACACACACACACAGTAACATCAGTACTTGGCACAGCTTCACAATCAGCTGCATTTTCAGGTACTACTGAATATGCATCGGAGTCACAGTTCTGAAAGCATTTCATGCACATTATAAGTACACAATGTACATTGTTTTACTCTATGTGGGATGCGAAAGTTGCTGAGGGCGTGACAGGGTGAACAAACCTACCTTAACGCTACTATTAACTGCAGCAGCTACATACATAGCAAAAGAAGCACCCAAAATGCTATGCACACGAGTAAATGTGTGTGCATGAAACTATAGTGCGTAGCATAATTATGTATTAGCCAAAGACACACACAGAGAGAGAGAGAGAGAAATAAAGAAAGACCACATGTATGCTGCTGGTCTCCTACACCGGGGTTTGGTTACTCACACTCTTATCAAATCTCATCCCCACCACTGAAATTGTACACAGACCCCCCAATTATATTAAGGCCTGTCACATACGGGGCACCATGCTTCTTGTACACACAGTGAAATTTGCCAAGATAAAAATGCAAGGAGTTAAAAAAAAAATCAGCAAATGTGTAAATGCATAGCAATAAAAACGCTAAAAGTATATACCTATGGCTGGTATGCTATGAACTATAATTTCATACATAGCTGCCACAATTAATAGGAGCTTGGTATGTAAAAGTCAATAATTAATAGCCTACCTCCGAGACATCAGGTGTAGCTAGCTGCCTCCTTCATCTCGTGTAACAAGTACCGACGCTTGAATTCTGTGCTTCCTTTTACTGTTGTATCTTTATGTACTGCGGGGAAACCCCTAGTCGTTCCAGCCTCTGTGTGCTGTGGAAGTGTATCTCGCTCTCATTCCCATACCAACAGGGTGTGGTATGGGAACGAGACCACGACCCTCGATTTTCCCTTATTGGCTGAAACGCGAGGGGTTTCCTCAAGTACACACTGTGAACTCTTATCCGTTATTGATGATGTCATACTGACATGATATGAGGTCATCAATAAAGGATTTTTTTGTTCAATTTCGGCATACGAATCAGCTCTTGGAAAATATTTACTAGCTATTGCAAAAGTTTATGCTAACTTGCAATTGACCAATCAGATTACGAGTTTAGAAGTAAGTTTCTGTTACCTATTCTGTGTTAACTAATGTGTTTCGAAAGCCTAGGATGCTTCGAATAACGATGACCACGCCTTCATTTCAAAAAGACACGCGTGGCAAACACTAGTCGCGTGACAGTATACTAATAGAAACCTGAGTGGAACTCTAATTGAAGCACATTCCATTTCACATGCAAATGGTTGCAAGAGGAGACAGTGCTGTGGTGCAGTTACACCACAGTTTGCTGAAGCTTGTAATACATAATAGTGAAGGGGTGCTCACTCCATTTGCCCAAAGGATTTCCGAGGGGAAACCTCAGTGGGGCTGGCTACACATGCGATCAGAAAGTAGTAACAGAATGTTTTCCTAACCTGTGAGTGCAGCTTGGCAGCAGGCGAACTGTACAGTATAGTATAGCATGTAGCCGGAAATGATTGCATAACATTCCAATTTTATCGCGTGCAGTTACAGAACATGTACGCACTCATTTACGTGAAGGAGTGCCTGTTGTGTGATGATGAGGTGAAAGTGTTGTGGGAGTGTCCAGCATATAGTAGTCTTAGGAGCAATTTCTTAGTTGCCCTGCAGGGGAAGCTTGGGGATGATGGGTTTGAGCATTTCCAGTCGCTTGATAATTTCAGGAAAGCATCCTTTATATTGGGTAGTGAGCTGTGGGAGGATAAATTTGGTTCTTTGCTTGGCCTTGTTAAAGGTTTTATTTTGGATGTTTGGGAGCTAAGGAAGGTTAGGTTATACAGCGATAATCCCCGCGTACAACAGACTCAGTCTCAGATTGCGTCTGGGGAGCTGCAGGGTGTCGCTGGTGGAAGGGGTGAGTTGAGGTGTCTGGGAGGTGAGACAGACACCTCGTGTTCATATGGTGTATGTTCGTTTGTTAACGGTTCCGCCCATTGCTCTGGGTGCGTGGTCTATGGCTCTAGTGCTATGGCAGCCACCTGAGTATTATTATTATTATTATTACGCCACATTACGTCCCTCCAAACCACACACAACGCAAAACTTTTTCATGAATTTTAGCAAACATTTCCGGCTAAACTGTGTAATAATACTGGTATTTCTTCATCTGTCTGTACACAGTTGGCTCAAGAGCTGACCTTTGTCCCCGAGAAAACGTTGATATCAGCTGCAGTGTTGGAAGGTCCGAACGTGTTCTCCTGTTGCTGGTGTTCTATCCCAGACGAGACGGGAAACTTCTCGGGCAATGGCCGCTCTGCCTGAAGCATGTTGCTCTCGGCTACGATCTGATTTGGCGTCTTCCACGCGTTGTTGTGGAGGACCAGCCCAGACTGGTTGGCTGGAGTCTTGGTCAGCTCAAATGGTGCCCTCGGTGCAGGCTGGAGAGAGAGAGAGAGACAGAGAGAGAGAGGGAGGGAGAGGAGGGAGAGTGTGGCATTTGCACCCCCTGAAAAAGAGCCTAAAGTGTCATCTGGGTTAACATGTGCCCTCCTCTTAAATTTGTCAATTTGCCATTTGCAAAAAATAAAGAGCTGGGGTATGATGCTAATATATGTACAATGGGTATAGTATGTAGCACTGGGCCTCACCAGAGGGTCATTGTCGTACGCTCCATCGTCTCCTCCCTCATCCTCCACCTCCTGTCTCCTCTGCAGGTTCTTGCACAGGGCAGTGAACTTGTCAATGTGGACTTTCTTCACCTTGGCAGCCATCTCCTTCACCACAGCCTGCACCTGGGCCTCTCCCACTAGACCCACACACCCCTCTCCTTCGTCTGGGGATCTGGTGAGAGTGTATGTATGGGGAACACTACCACAGTTTTCATAGTTACAGTGGAACCTCCGAACAAGGGACACTATGGGGCCAACAATTTTGTCCCTTGTAGAGAGGTCGTCCCTATCTCGGAGGTCAAATAATACACTAAAGTATTAGCATGGGGTTGAAACAAGTGTCCTTTGTAGAGAGGTCGTCCCTATCTCGGAGGTCAAAAAATACACTAAAGTATTAGCATGGGGTTGAAACAAGTGTCCTTTGTAGAGAGGTCGTCCCTATCTCGGAGGTCAAATAATACACTAAAGTATTAGCATGGGGTTGAAACAAGTGTCCTTTGTAGAGAGGTCGTCCCTATCTTCTCGGATGTTTCACTGTATAAACTTCGTACATGTATGTGCGTCTCTAACATGCCAATGTTGCAATATACACAGTATGCAAGTCACAGTCTGCGTAAAGACAGACCTTGATTTGGAGCGACTGTCACTCGAACATGACCTCCTCCTCCTTCTCCTGTCACTTCTTCGAGGAGATCTGGACCTGTAAACACCCATCCTTCAATAACCTTTGACAGACAATACTATTATGTACATCTGTCTACAATTGAACTTTGTTGGAGAGAAGGCCCAGTAAGTCTGAAAGCTGGGAAACTCTCCAGAACAATAAATGGGCCTCGACCTGGGAACTTGATTTTTTAACATCTGTTTGTTTAATACAAATTACATCTGTCTACCATCAAGGTTCAGTTGGAGTAAGGGGTCTGTAAATCTGAAATGTAAAACTTTCTAGAACAACAAATGATCCTCGATTTTGGGGTTCTAACTTTTACTTTGATTGTTTAGCTCTTAACTCTTTGCTTTCGCCATGGAACTGGACCTCATCCATTCCAGTGCCTTGTGCATGCACAGTAAATGGGGGGTAACTTCGGATACGGGGTAACACCCGGACATAACTCGCTATTCAGAAACAAGAGAAAGATTCGGATATGTTTCACTTGATTACTACGTGCTAACAAATCTTCCTCGCGTTCTTTGCGCAGCGAATAATTTCGAGGCAGGTGTTATGCCCCATGTCCGGAGGGTAGTTCGTCGAGGGTGTGTTTTTTTCTTTCTTTGGTGATTTGAGCCATAGTTCAGGGACAAACCCCTTATTCAAAGGCCCCCCTTGCCCCAACCCCCCTAGAATGATTCCAAAGGCCCCCCTTGCCCCCACCCCCCTAGAATGATTCCAAAGTGAGGCGTAACATGGTATGCATGGTGCCCAACCGACCTAGATCTGGACCTGGTTCTGGAATGGGATCGAGACCGATGGCGACGCCGGAACCAGCCTGGGCTCTTCCTCCCTCTGTACCTACTGCCCCGAGATTGCCTGAAGCGATAGGGGCTCCCCCTCTTGCTGGAACGGTATGGAGACCTGGAATAAGAGGAATGTCATAACACGTGAATCATTATGCTGCCAGGTTTGAAAGGCATCACTTGTGTTGACCTCAAACGATGTCGCTTGTTTCTGGAATGATATGGAGACCTGCAGATATGTCAGAAATCAACAATGTGATGTCTATAATATGGTTGTGAGTATATGGGTATATACCTGGATCTGGATCTGGAATGAGACCTTGATCTGGAATGCCGTCTGTGTCTGGAACGAGGACTGGACCTCCGTGACCTAAAGGCAGTGTAGAATATTATTGCACACCTGAGGATATATACACACATGCAGCAGGCAATGCAGCTAAGCTTCATGCGTGCTTGTATTTCTCAACTTCAACGGTCTAGTATCATATCGAGTCATTTTATCGTACATACCTTGAGGGTGATCTTGAGTGTCTTCTCTTTGCAGGGGAGCGAGAGGGAGATCGAGACACACTTCGACGAGAGTACCCGTCTCTCTTCCTCGAACCCTCCTTGTGCCTCTTTCTGTGACCATAACTTCCTGAATGTCTCTTCCTCCTCTTCTCTCTCCTCCTCTCCTCTCCCTCGTCCTCCTCCCGACAACTCCTCTCCCCCAAAACCACATCTTCTGGGTCATTGCCCCCAGTGTCTTCTCCTCCTCCTCCGTTGTCTGCTGCAACTGGGGAGTGACTGGAAACAGACAGTTTCCCATGATTGAGTCCTGTTTCTCTGCCTGTTTCAGTTGTTGACCACCCAGCTGACGTTGCTTGGACGTCAGACGAGACTGAAATGTTGATTTGAATTGTCTTGTTCTTGGGTATCGCGGCAAGTGATTTTCCAATGATTTGCATGTCGTCCAGGTCACTGCTTCCCACGTCAGAGTCAGATGATTCTGTCTCACCTCTCTCCCCAACATTCCTATTCTCTCTCTCTGCAGAGTCCTCTCCAGTGAGTCGATTCCCCATCTCTCTTTCCCCTCTCCTTCCTCCCTCTCTTCCACCCACCTGATTCCCTCCATCTTCAACCCCTCCATTTTCTCTCCTTCCCTCCTCTCTCCCACCCTCCTCTCCCCCACCTTCCTTTCCCTCTCCCTCCCCTCTCCGTCCCTCCTCTCTCCCTCTTCCCTCTCTCCCTCTTTCACCCAGATCTCGAGCTGCAGTCAATTTCTCTCTCTCACCATCCAACACACAGTCCTTTCCTAGTCTCTGTGACCCATTATCAACACAGTGAGAGTCCAAAACCTCTGCTTCAACTTGGGACACAGGCAGTTCTGCAGCAACTGTTCTTTCTCTCGTCACAGTAGCGTCATCTTTCTTTGTATCTGGCAGCAGTTCAAGACTTTTTAATTGTGTAGAGTGTTCTTTGAGTGACGTGGAATTGAGGGGTTCCCTGAGTGACGTGGAATTGTGGGGTTCCCTGAGTGACGTGGAATTGTGGGGTTCCTGAGTGATGTAGAATTGAGGGGTTCCTTGAGTGATGTGGAATTGAGGGGTTCGCTGAGTGACGTGGAATTGTGGGGTTCCTTGAGTGATGTGGAATTGAGGGGTTCTTTGGGTGAAGTGGAATTAAAAGGTTCCTTAGGTGAAGTGAAATTAAGGGGTTCCTTGGGTGAAGTGGAACTGAGGGGTTGCTTGAGTGAAGTGGAATTGAGGGGTTCCTCCAGTGACCTGGAAACGAGGGGTTCCTTTAATGATATTGAATTGAGGGGTTTCTCGTTTAGTTGAGGGTGGTGGGTGGGGTTTGATGGGGAGGTGGGTGGGGCATCGCTGATTTCTTCGTCTCCACTGCTGTCTGATCTCACACATTGCTGTGTCCAACACACACAGACAACGGGCAGAATGAACATAAATCATCTAAAAGGTCTCTTATTCAGTCACAGTGTTGGGTCCAGTTCTTTTCATGCACCCATGAATGCAATGTTTTTAAACGATTGGTCCTCCTTATACCTTCAACTGTTGGTATATTATACATACTGTACATGTACGTGTCCAGTGGTATACTCCCACAAACTTAACACTGTCCTCCTTATCTTGAATAACCTCAACTGTTGGTACGTACAAGTGTCCACTAAACTGTGGTAAACTCCCACAAACTTACACTGTCCTCCTTATCTTGAATAACCTCAACTGTTGGTACGTACAAGTGTCCACTAAACTGTGGTAAACTCCCACAAACTTAACACTGTCCTCCTTTCCTAGGCAGACGACAGGCTACGTTGTATTTCTTGTTGCTAGGATGGATTACAAAGGCTCGCCAAGCTCCAAAAAAAAACCAGTGCATATTGCTAGAAGACGCCTAGACTGAGAGATGCTGGAACACAATGTGTAGCACAGAGTCTATGGGTGCTTCATTTGTGCATTCACGAACTATTACGGATATTTTAGTTCTGGCAAGTTATAACAGTTGCATTTTTTTTACACACAGACAGGAAGCCAAAGGCGAACCTCTATAAGAGCGTCTTCCAGTGTCTCCAGCGCAGCCTGCAGTTCCCTTTCGTCCACCTTGAGCTGAGGAGTCTGGCTCCTCTCCCTGTCCCCGTCTCCCTTCTTATGCTTATGCTTCTTCTTCTTGTGCTTCCCGTGACCGTGATGGTGGCGGCTACCGTGATGCTTGTGTTTGTGCTTCGAGTGCTTGTGGTGGTGATTGTGATGATCCTCGGTGCTCGACTTTCTCGCCATGGTAACTTATTTTTTGAGCTTCTGCTTGAAATGCTCTGGTATAGGCTCAGAAATCGTGCATATAGACTACCTCTCTACCTCTCAGCTCTTTACTTCCATTTGACGCACACCACACCATCCCGTTCCAAATAAAGCGCATTCAACAGTGACGGTGTTGTTTTGCTTGGTTCGTTCGTTTTTTGGAGCGTTTCGTCAGCACGCGCAGAGCTGGTTGATCTCCTCCGTGCTACTGGGAGGATTATCTCCTTCTCTCCTTCCCCGCTAGCTAGCTGCAGGAGGATATTCAGGAGGGAGAGATGGACGGCGCGCAGTACCCCGACTTGGGGGACATGTCCATCGAAGAGAGCGACCCTCTCCCGCCGCTGCAGAGCACCGTCACCAAGAGCCGGCTCCCTCCTCCCAAACGGCCGCCACCACCCCGCTCCGCCTCGGCTCCTAGCAGCATGATAACGGGCTCCACTCCGAAGGTCTGTTTTGCATGAGAACTGCACTTGTAAAACTCCAGCTCATGTGCACTTGTTTTTGAATACAGAACTACACTCCTGCATACTCCTCGTTTTCTTTACTCTCAGCTCAGTATAAACGTTCATACATGTAGGTCCCCTCCATATGAATCTAGCACTAGTTGTATGTATGTCTCCCAGCACTCAAGGCAGGACACTATGAATCAAGTATTATTAGCATGGACAATAGAGCTTACACCCTCTACTATCTACTGTTATGTGTTATCAGCTCAGTATTTTGTAAACTCTCACAGGTCCCTCCCTATGAATCCAGCACTAGCACGTCTCTCAACACCGCAACGATGCTGCCGTCTGCATCCTTCCCAGAGAACACCTGCATGGCTTCCTCTCCGTTCTCCTCGCCGTCCCTCTCGGATGGCGCCCCCCGGCAGATAGCCCCGCTGAAGCCGCACGAAGTCCGCTGGTTCTACGAGGAGTCGGGGAAGGCGTGGACTCCGTTCAACGGGCACGACTCGCTGTGTCTCGAAGACTGCTATCAGAGACTGCAGAGACAGAGGGGTAGTGGGGGGGAGTGTGACGTCTCCGTCCTGGGAGACACGTACGAGGCCAACTTGGCCGACAAGATGTGCAAACCCATATACTGGACTGGTACGTGTATATACGTTACTACTTCTTATCTAATGGTCTGAAAACTATGAGCTTTTTACCGCCCTCTCATAGTGGCATCACGTAGAGTGTAGCTCAGAGCTCTATGGACGGCTTGCGTTTGCTCACCAGAACAAATATGTTGCATTGTAGCTACATGTCTCTGTTCCTGAGTGTGTGTGTAGACCCCATTATGTGCTGGTCACGTGTGTAATTACTTTAATGACTACGACAGTTTTTTTGGCTAGAGAACGCAAGCAAGTCATCTAAGCACGACCTCTGGAACCGCTATGTGTGATTTCGTGCAGCCTGTGTCAAGTTACAACTACAGTAGAAGCACTTGTTTTAATTTTTTAAAAGTAGCAACTGAGCAAGTATACCGCGAACATTGGACTAGAGTGTACATATGTATGTATTATCATTGCCACTATGCTTTGTTGCCTATTGCTGGCATACAGTATGTACCGTTGATAAGCTTTGACGAATCACTCAAAAGAAGTGTCACAGACACAGTCGGCCGGTGCATGCGGCGGGCTAAACATGTATTCTGTATATACCTTTCTTTGCATCTGTGTTGTGTGTGTGTGTGTGTGTGTGTGTGAACAGACAAACCAAGGAAGATACTGCGTGGGACGTGGTTCGAGGTGTCCAGTGAAAAGTGGTATCCACTGGAGGAACAGGATAGCATTCTGGTGGAGAAGGAACACTGTAGAATGAGCTGGAGAAATAGGGTATGCCATGGAACATGAGGCATGCTTATACTCTTATGGGCCAGCCGGGATAATAGGCATACCTCAAAACTTTCATCATGTATATACAGCAGCCCTGCTCAAGTAGATGTGAATATGTACCATTGCCTATATAGCTTTGATAATTCTTCCCGAAACTGGCATTTTGTGTTCCAAAAATAATCCGCAAATGGCTAAAATCACACACCTGTATAAAGTGTGTTGATGGGGTTGTTTGCAGGCCGGTCTTCTACGCGCATAGGCTTGTTCGGTAGAATTATTTTGGTATTCCTCTGGTAATTTTTCTACATTTTGAAATGCTTTCTTTTCCTTTTGCAGGCCTCAGAGCAGCAGAGACTAAAGAAAGTATCAGCCGGATCACCAGCTGACTCCAGCAAGCCTTGTGAAAGTGTGTACATAATTATTGTGCATACGTATGCACAGCACCCTGTCTGTTGGTAAAGTGCTCGCCTTGAAAGCAGAGTGTCACGGGTTGTAGCTCTTCCTTTTTCCTTGATTGGCTATAGTGGAACCTTGTGACCCTTTCTGGCTGTTTCGGGGTTTAGAAAACGAAGGTGTATTTACATTTCCGTTAGCAATATTATTTGTCGTCTGGGAAAAATTTTTACTGCCCACTAGAATTTTACTCTACGTGTTTATATTGCGTTGAATTCAGCTGTGATGAACAGACTGTCCCTGGAGAAGTACGAGGTGCTGTGGATGGCCAACGACACCATATTCAAACAGAAGAAAGAGATAACCTCGCAGCTGTGGAGCATGGTGGGAGAGAGGCTGGGGAAGGGACAGGCGTACGGGGCTGCAAGGTTTGTCCGTCATTTTTTTCCTAAAGCACGAATGCCGCTCTGCGGTATAACTGTATTTTGGTTGACACCACAAAGCAAAATACATAGCCACAAACAAACTCTATAAAATAAAATTAGAGCTCACTCACGCTGCATTTCGTGTCTTCTAAATCTCGTAGAATTCAACTTTCCTAAAAACGTTAATTCTAAATGCCCGCTGCGCCGTTACCCTGCGCAACCCGCGCACGCGTGAAATCGGGTGTGTGTATAATTCTTAGAATTTGCTCTAAATAGATTTGGCTGCTTGTCCGTAAAATCTACACGCATTAGAAGCCCTCTGGCCCTGCACGTAGCGTCCTCGCTGCTCTCGGAACGCCACAACTCAAGGGCCCTCAGTCGTTCTAATGCACGTAGAATTCACAGGCTCACTGTCTAACTGCTATGTGGTTGTGTAGTACAGCACCCTCCCTTTTTGCAGAGCGGTTGCTTGATGTGTTATGCTTGCTTTTGCATAATGCCATGGGCCTGAGTCTTGCCAAGAATATTAATGAACACGAGGAAATTAGAGTATCAACATTAGCACAGCTGCAGTTGTGTGTAATACTCGGAGCTGTATATAAACTTCTTGAGCTGTATGTACTTCTGATGCTGGGACTCTCTGTAATTGGTGAGCGGGAGCGAGCCAACCTAGTCGTTCGTTCGGGCGGAATTTTCTGTATTATTATCGTCGTTCGTACGTCGTGTAAGTGCGCATGCGCGGCTTTGTACGCGCTTCTTTTTATCCGAAACTATTTCCAAATGTTTTACACATTTTCACACACGGTGCCTCGCGATATGCGCCGATCGATCTAGCCAGCTAGAGAACTCTCCTCCATTCGACGGCATGCGCTGCAACCTTCGGTGACTGACCGAGGCTGTATATACCTCTTGCCAATCTTCATGGTTCCAAGGTGCAACTTGCATAATACGCTATGATTGATCGTGAACATACTGCTGCATGCAGCGTAAGGTAAGTACCGTTCTGTTCACCTGCTCACCGTTCTGGCAATATATACAGTACGCATGTAACGGTGACAGGTACATCTGTCTTGCTCCACGAAAGGAAAGCTGTGCGCTGACGGCACGTTATGCAGCCCGAACATCGCGGGCGAATCCCAAGTTGGGTCGCTCCCTGCTCGCCAACAATGTTCAACATTTCCACTAGTAAGTATTTCTAGGAAGGATGTCTGGGTTACAGTAAGGTGTCAGTTGTACCATTCATCCTGTTATTTGCTGGGAGTTGTGTGTGTATGCCCTAAATTGTAGGTTTGGGGCTGTGTAGTAGGTGTACTCTTGGGAGCTCTTTGTTTACAGTGGAACCATCTCTGAGGGTATCCATGAAATGGGGACACTTCTTATATAAGTACACCTTTTCTTCCCCCAAAAATCGTGTCATTTACCCCCTGAAATAAGGACATAGTTTTTTTTCTTTCTTTTTTCGCCGTCTCTGTCGGTCGGATACTCATACCCTCCGGTGGATGTGAATATCCCCAGGAAGTGGTCTGGTGCAGTCAGTGGTACATACCTGCGTACGCGGCACTTTGGATTTCTATGGCTTCTGGGCTACAATGTATGATATTATACCCATGTGTTGTGTCACAGGCTGCAGCGAGGCTACAAGGACGCGGCGTCTCACGAACACCGAGAACCTCCCATTGGCCATCTGGTCCTCATAGTCCACGGCATCGGGCAGAACATGGAGTCGTCAGACATCTGCAAAGACAGCAACAGGTCAGTCCTCGCTGCATTTATTTCTGTGAATGTTGCTTGTTCATGCAGCTCCTCTGAAAAGAGTTGTCCTGGGTGTAGTTGACTTGTTTTCTTTTGCCCTTCTACCTCATCGTGTTGTTGACCCATGCGTGTACTATACGTATATACGTAGCTAGTCCGTTGCACTGCATAAGTTAACGCAAGAATCCCGATCCCTCTTTAGACTGGTTCAAATTACTGATGCAAGCCCTTAAAACCCTTTGGGCGCCATAGGTGTCTCCTTAAATAAGCAGAAATTTGATGTATAACATATTAGCGCCTAGTATTATAACCATTATAAAATACTTATGCACTTATGGAGGCTCTGTGCATATATATATGTAAATGGCGCCCAAAGGGTTTTAAAGAGGTTTTGTAATTTTTTGCATCGCTCGTGAGAGGGTTTTTAGTGTTTTTGTGATAATCAGCCAGACACAAGAAATAAGTCTCTTCTTGCATTAAAACTCATTGGGCATGGACTGATTATGAATAAGCCATCAATAATAATGCAATGGGGCAGGAAAAAGCGGTTGGAAAAAAATAAAAAAGGGCGACACCAGGGATTGGGACTTGAATCAACAGTACAGATGTAGTGTGTAGATCTTGTAGGCAAGTGCGTACATGCTATAATGCTAGCAATGAGTTAGCCCTGATTTAGCTGTACGTGATTGTGTGTATGTCTGCCTGCAGTCTCCGTAGTACGTGTGCCCAGGTGGCCAAAAAGAAGTTCCCAGAGGATTGGGCCCACGGTCGGGTGGAGTTCCTGCCCTGTGAGTGGAGAACATGGCTAACTCTCGACAAAGGTCTGTGAGGAATAGTAACCTTAGCCTGCCCCCACCTGGACCTATTGGTTCTGTATAGCAGGCAACTTTTAAGGGATCTGAAACATTTGTGAAATTCACAGTGTATTAGCTGTCCTCAAATTTTTAATTTTTGTGCATTTGAAAAGCGATCTGCTAGCTTTTCTCTGTAAAATATTTGCTTTGCTACTGAAAAGCATGCGACAGTTATGCTCCTTCAGCAATACAGGCTCTAGTATATCTCTTTGGCTGCCTCCTGTAATCTCTAGTATATCTCTTTGGCTGCCTCCTGTAATCTCTAGTATATCTCTTTGGCTGCCTCCTGTAATCTCTAGTATATCTCTTTGGCTGCCTCCTGTATGAGAATAGTAATACTTTAACCCTCGCGGTCACTACATGCATGCGCGTTAAGGATGGGGCACTCTGTGCTGATAGCCTCATGTATTTAGCAAAGTATTACACTGGGAGGTGAAGTTAACTGTATAGTGGGGAAAGGGAATGTGGCAGTATATATAAAGGCTAAATTGTTACTGAAAATGGAAGCCTAATTGCATTCTTAGACTGGGCCCTATTGTTTAGTTATATATTTAGTAACACTTCTAAATTTAGCCCTGACACATTCCTTAACTATTCATGCTGGTGTTTTTGACGTATATTATACTTCTCTTTACTCTCCACCTATCTCCTTCTCCCCCTTCCTCTGAGTCCAGGAGTGATAAACACAATAACCCCACAGGGACTCAAAATGGTCAGAGGTGTCATCAATGACACAGTACTGGATGTCATGTTTTACCTCAGCCCCAAATATGGACCCGAAGTAAGCATTTAATCCCGTTAGAAATGTAGAAAACAGATACTTCAAGACAAGTTGAGCATTTCTGCTTTAAATGACTGTGTGTGTACACATCTGTTTCGGCGGAGGAGGTGTGCGTGTGTATTTAGAAGGTTCACACTAGTCATCACTGTGGTCACTCTCTCTCTCTCTCTCTTCCTCTCTCTCTCTCTCTCTCTCTCTCTCTCTCTCTCTCTCCCCTCTCTTTCATTGAGTATTTCACTCTATAGCAAAAAAATGGGGCTAAACGATTTCTTAGTTGTGTGGAATCAGAAGCTAGTTTTCAGTCCCATTTCTCTCTCCCTGCCTCTCTCTCACTCCCCCCCTGCCCCCTCCCCCCTCTGTCTGTGTACCAGATAATGGACGGTCTCCGGTTCAGCATCAACAAGCAGTACAGGGAGTTCATGAAGAGGAACCCCAATTTCTCGGGGACAGTCAGCGTGTTTGCCCATTCCCTGGGCAGTGTACTGGTGTATGATCTACTGCTGGAGACGTGCGAGGAGAGGGGAGTCCAGCACTCTGACCTACACACAAATACAGGTGGGCACTTAGAATTAGCGAACACATAGACTTGGGGCAACAAAGTCCATGAGGGTTAGAACCGGGAGTTGTTTTGCTGAAGCATGCCAATTTAAGTGTAATGTGGGCACATTCTTCAGTACTTGCCAGTATGGTTTTCCTGACTTATAGCAAAGTCAAATTCACACATACTACTTGATCGATCTTTTGGTTGTGTGAGTAAATGTATTAAGGTAAAGTAAGCGTGGTAGTATTCAGTCAGCCTCGGGCTTGTGTGAGGACTAACAGTCTAATGGGAGCTGCTGCAACTTTTGTTGAAGCACCGAGTTGGCTGGTGTACATGTTGGCCTTAACTTTCTTCTCCCCCCACACCTGCAGAGGTGAGTGAGGGAGAGACGGGAAAGGGGAGTCAGCCCAAGAAGAAGAAGGCTGTGGAGAACCCGAGAGAGGTCAAGTACAGTCGCAGTGGGCACTCCCTCACCTCCAGTCTCCAATCATCCACCTCTCCTCACCAGCACTCCCCCGCCGGAGGAGAGGATGAGATTGGTTTGTCTCCTGTCATTATAACTGTATGGAATACATACATATGCTGGACAGCCCGGGGAAAACCTGTAACTATGAAATGGCAGAGTTCTTGAGTACGTTTTGAGTACGTACCTTTTTCACCGAACGTTACTTTTATGGTATTCAGTATTCGCAATGTTTTTTTTGTTGCTAAAGTTTGGTTCATGCGTCACATATGTAAGTGCTGGCGCGAATAACTGTATAGTTTTCTTCGCCCTGGTATTCGTGAGAGTACATATAGTTAATCCATTCATCTCACTTCTGATCTCAAACCTGGTAGACTAAAAGGGTTGTGAAGGGTGTGTTAGTCGAGATAGAAAGCAAATGAGCTCTACCAGTTGGATTCGAACCCACCACCTCTTGCTTTCCAGGCAAGTGCACTACCACTGAACTCTATGGGAGAGCTACAGATTGTATATAGGCAGCAGCTCTTATCCCAATGTGAATTAGATAGTACTCTGACTCTTAGATGGGCGAGATTTCCCACTGATGTGCATGCGTTATCATAATGTACACATAGACTTTTCACCCTGCTTTTACTCTCTGGAAAGTGACACTACCATTTGTCTTATCAGACTTCAGAGTTGGAGGAGATGGAGAGGAGGAGGGAGAAGGTCCAGTTAGCAACGGATCCATTGATCCCCAGGCTTCACGGAGGGCTGAGCTGGCGAGACTGAAACAGAGGGTGGCTGAGCTAGAGAGCCAACTGGGGATGCGCAAGAAGAGAGGACTGAAATTCACTGTGAGCAATATGAATATATACGTGAATGTACATTGGATATTGTAGTAGTTAGCTAGTTACTTTGGCTTAGCAGTGTGCCGCAGAGTTGCTTGGCAATACAAATATACAGTGTATGAAAGCCCATAGTAGGGAATATCATGAGTTGTTCATAAGGTAGAGGCGGTGGGGTTAAAAGACAGTGTATTACCAAGGTAGGGGAGTTATTCATAGTTCTAACAGGTAGTAGTTCATTGACTAGGTTCAACTTTACATTAATGTACCAGTATGTAAACCCAGTTTACACCTGTCCCTGTCAGATTGACCATTTCTTTGCTGTTGGTTCTCCTCTGCCGCTGTTCCTGGTAATGAGGGAGCATGATTGCCTCATCAAGAAGGGGCACCGCGGGGCCGCCAGCCTCCTGCCCACCTGCATCTGCAAGAGGGTCCACAACCTCCATCACCCAGCTGACCCCATCGTTAGTGGCTCATTACAAATGTCATAAGAGAGTCAACAACCTCCATCACCCATCTTACACCATTGTTATTGGCTCATCACATCATACAGATGCGGTGTTAATAGCTGGGCACTTATAGAGTCCAATGCATGACCCCATCGAAAATTGTTGAATTTGTGCTGCTAAAAAGTGGTGAGGCTTACAGACTCCTGAAGCAATTAGATGTGCATTTGAGGTGTAATAGGTTGCTGTAACACGTTTTTCTAGGTTACCACTGTTTTTTCTTTCCCACAGGCATATCGTCTGGAGCCACTCGTAAACTCGCTGTATGCCCAGGTCAAACCAGTCAAACTGGACTCAGCTAGCTCCAAACCCAGCAAGGACATGGTCGACCTGGCCCAGGGTCCACAGACAGAGAAACCTGTGGCTCCTATGAACAAGGGCTGGTCCTTCCCTCTCTTCTCGTCCAAGAAGACAGAACCGCCTCCCCAGACCAAAGTTCCAGACGGTGTAAGTCTTGAAAGATTTTTTCATTTTATAGGTTCCTTGTGTTGAGGAATAAATTTTTTAGTTAAAGGGAATGTGTCAGTACCTAAGGGCTAAATTTAGAAATGTTCCTAAAGTTACTAAAGATAGAATTAAACAATAGGGCCCAGTGAAAGAATGCAATTAAGTTTCCATTTTCAGTAACAGTTTCTAAATTTAGCTTTACATTTCCTGTATATAGTGGCAGGTAAGATCTCTCTGTTTCTCTGTTGTAAAGTTCCAGACGCAGTAAGTGTGGAAGATTTTGAGAGTTTTGAGATATAGTACCAAGGATCCTTTAAAAATCGTTGTAGCTTGCAGTGATGGAGGATAAAATAGAGACTGCACTAGGGAGGCCTTTTTTATTAAATTATACTCACGGGAGTGTTAGAATTATTAAGACGAATTGAGGTATGAACAAACTTTCATTGGCATGTTTTGTTCGGTTTTTCTTTTGTGTTAAAGAGATGTGGTAGAGACGAAAGGTTGGAGAGAAATGGGAAGTAAAGGCGAGATAGGGGGTTAAATGCTGAAACGGATATTGGGTAAAGAAGTCAGAGCGAAATAGGGGCGAAGAAGAAAGGCCAGGGGGCAAGAAATGTCAAGATTGTGATAGGGAGTAAAGAAGAACAGGCTGAAGTGAGATGGAGGTGAATTAGAAACGCGTAGGGGGAAGAGAGAATGGTTGGGGCAGGATATGGGGGAAATAGGGAGAGATGAAAGGTTTAAGAATTCTTATGAAGGAGTTTTGCTGGGGCATATTTTTATGGAGGCTGCTGCAATTTCCAAGAAAGTAAACCATTTCAGGAGGGCCCTCGATCAAAGAAATCCTGATTGTTGTAATGCCGCAAAACACTAGCAACCTAATGATAGGTGATTTCTTGCACTACTTTGCGTGACACAAGCAACTCGGCTGGTCTTTCCCTACAGACCGGGAAGATGCCTTGCTTGTCGTGTGGTGGCCACTGTCCGTGATAGTTTTTGTGTTTGATAGTTTTGAAGCGGAGGTTACTGTGTTGCAGCATATGGAAGTGCGTGGCCATGAACAAAGGGCACGGTTGATCTTGTAGCAACATTCATGGTTACTGTAAGCATACACGTTGTATATCACTGGATGGACATGGTTCTATGTCACAGTTGCTTGTATTTACAGGTCGTGAACGATGACAAGCTGTTCGTTGGGGGAGGTAAGTAATTTCCTTGTTACTTCGCTTAAGAATAAGTTTTGAGTCACGAAATATGTTATTGATTACTCAATGCATAAGAAGAACAGGTTATAAACATGGGCTAAGAGCAAAGAAAATGCTGACCAGCATATTTCGTGACTCAAAAATTAGTCATATTTTGTGTCTGGTGTAATTACATAATTGCAGAAGGGTTCATCCCCGCAGATCGTTTAAAGGAACGCCTGGATTTCGTGATGAAAGAGAGTGTGACAGACATCAGCTACATCAGCTCCATCATGGCCCACTTCTCCTACTGGAGCTCACAGGACTGTGCCCAGTACTTGCTGCTACAGCTCTATACCTACAAGCCAACTGGTCAATAGGTCCATGGCTATAACATATTTATGTTCCTCTGCATCATTATGATGATGCGGGTTTTTGCTGTGGTTTTCTATTAGTGTATAATGTTTTATATCCTCGTTGAAAGATGAAATAACCATGCGGGTGTATTATGTGAAGTTGCTGGTTTTTTTGGGTTTCTTGTGCATAGTGAGCGCAGCAGAGATCTATACGATGACACACTTGAACTAAATTGAAGCAGGGAACATTAGGTGTGCAGACGACATGCAACAACTGTTCACTTCACCAAGTGGTGGAACTACATGTACTCGAGGAGTGTTGTATATACAGTGGCTAACTTAGCAGGTTTAGTGCGTTGCTTGTTGCTAGTCGGTTGGCTCAGGGCTGTGGGCGGCTGGGTTATACCTCCGCCACAAAAGTATTTTGAAAACTTCACTGAATAGAGAGTCATGTTGACGCTACATTATGTCCGTATGTCAGTACACCACAGCTCTTTTTAGAGGGCTGTGTCCGAAATCGTAATGACTCTTGAATGAGGTGGTTGGAATACACCAGGGGAAGGTATATAAGTACAATGTTAGCTGTGAAGTTTTGCCCAGTGTGTGAGCTGAAAGGTAAATGACGGTTCCTAAATGACAGCCTGTGCCTAATCATACATCATACCCAAGCTTAGGAACTGAAGATACCATTGCGCTATTATAGGATTTGTAGGTGCACTGGAGCTTACTAGCTATATAGTCGTCATGGCAGAGAGAGGGAGAAACAACTCCCAGACGTGGTCCTACTACGACATCATGGTGGTGGGGAAGACGGGCGTGGGGAAGAGCACCACCGCCAACAAATTGCTCGGCGTGGAAGCCTGCGGCAGGCCGACTGTGAGCATCAACGGCGTCGGCGCCGCAGCGGCACAGCAGCAGCGAGGTGGGAGTCGTAACAACGTCATCGCTCAGTGGACGAATCGTTACTCGCAGCAGCAAAACCATCTGCTGCAGGCGGACGACAGAAGGCTCAAGTCGGCCGTCGGGGGATCGTATTTCGCGACGGGAGAGAGCGCCACTGACTCCGTGACGAAGCAGTGTCAGCTACTTTCCAACGAGGGGACCAAGTTTCGCGTGTTGGACGTCCCGGGGTTCGCCGACAGCGATACGACGAAGGAGGTGGGCGTCATGAAGGGGAACCTGCAGGTGTTTCGCTGGATAGTCCGCACGCAGCAGGAGCACAACTTGTACTTTCGCCGCGTCCTCTACTTCCTGCCGGTGCGCGGCTGCCTGGAACGCGCCGACGGCGTCCTCCAGGAGGAGATCAACGTCATGTACCGATACTTCGGCAACGCCATCTTCGACATAATGGTCATCGCAGCTACGAACCACAGGCGGAAGCAGCACCACGGCTTTACGGACGAGGACCTCGCCGACACGCGGCGAACGTTCCAACGCGCGCTTCAGCTGGCGATCCGGGGGAACCGCATCCCACCGTGTCCGCCGATCGTCTACATCTCGCTAGACGAGGGCGACGTCGCCGGGAAAATAATCGCCGCGCCTGTTCTGCAGGACGCCTCGCTGGGCGGCGCTGCAGCCAGGTTCGTGGAAGAAGCCGACGACCAGTTCGTGCTGAGCATAGTTGCGCAGGAAATCAAGGAGACGCCGGGGACGCGCTTCCAATTTCAGGACGTATGCGTAAAGTGTGCGCTGGAGCTCCACTTCGGTATGAACGATGATGATGACGAAGTGGGAGGTGGAGGAGGAGGCGGGGAGCGCGCCGTCAAGGTGGTGACAGAAAATGGGGAATCGATCGCCTACGAACAGTCGCGATGCCACCCGCTCTTCTTTCCCAAGTACAGCAGAGTCCAGAAGATCGCGGGAGGCTGCGCGCACATCGCCACGGCTGGCATCCCCTACCTGGTCGCTAGAGTCCGCGGACGCAAGTCCTGGCCCGGTTTCACCAACTCGGACGAGCTGTGTCCCGTGTGCGGGCTCGGGCCGGGCTCCGACGGGTGCTCACAGATGGGCACCTACGTGGAGATGAAGGCGGCGGACGGAACGCTTCAGAGCGTGAGCGTCGACCATTCCAAGTATATGGAGAAGGTGGCGCTGCACATAGACACTTGTGAATAACACAGTAGTACCATTGTTTTTTGCTCAAGTTTCCCAACTTTTTGTGCCGTTTCACTGAATACACACTGCGCATGCGCCTGATATCACCATGCGCAGAAAACTGCAGCGAGTCCTGCGCCCACACAGTGGGGCGTTGGCGAGGTTGTTTCGTACCAGCGAGCGACTCGGAGAGAGAGGCAGTGAGAAGATGAGCTGTGGCAACAGCGGCAGAAGCGACGATGAGGATCAAAGACAGACGTACTACGCCATTAGCAACTACACCGCCGTCGAAGACTCCCAGGTACTACTTTAGCTACTGTAGCTAGCTGCTGCTACCGTGTTGACGGTGTGGTCTTCCAGTCGGCTCGGTGCGGCGCCTGGCGCAAGCCAAGACACTTGAGGTGGCCCCATCATAACGATGTCCGCCTTTTGCGTATTGGCCATTCTGTTGCAGCGTTCATCCACCCCATCCCTAAACAACTGTTTTTTTTGGTATTATGCAGCTCTCCCTGTCTGAAGGAGACGTGGTTGATGTGCTGGAGAAGGTGAACGAGACGTGGTGGTGGGCTGAGGTGGAGGGGGAAACGGGCTACGTCCCTACCAATCACCTCTCGGAGACCTGTCCCAGCGAAGGCGTGGACAGATGGCAGGACGTGGAATACTTTTCCAGCTACAACACTCTGGTTAGTCGATACCTTTAATAGTTTATTGATGGACCATTTAGTGGGTGGTTGGTGGGTTCGTTGATGTAATGCACACCGGCATATGGCTGGACCTATTCGAAGCCGAAATTTGCTAAGTTACACCTGTGCACTATTACCGTTGTGTTGCTTCTGTGTAGTTTGTAGCAGTCACAGTAAAGCAGAGCGCACATCTCTCGGTGTGTGAACACGGGGAGCTTGCTATGTCGTTATTTCATCAGAGTACAAGTTTTGTCATCGTATTATATACACCATTCTGTGTTCCAATGCTGTACACTGTATAGGCATTGTAGCTGTAGCTATTCACCCTGTCACTCCTACTACACATTCACACTACTATGGAGCACGTACATGTGCTGCTGCATAATGTGTACTTACGGGCCCCCCACATATAGACACCTAATATGCACTGTCGAAGATCTCTCATGAATGTCACTATAGTGTACAGTTATTGTTACTTAGAGACACCTAGCATCATAATTGTATGGGGTTATTGTGTAATAGGGAGCTTAGTTCATGTCTTAGCTGGAGCTATATACCAGAACCGTATTACTGTACATTCGTTCACTTAAATTTTCGTTCCACATTAACATACAACATGGCCTAATATCTTGTACTCATGCACCCAGACACACACGGTAAATAATCGTTCTCTGGTTTCGAGGAAGGAAAAGAATGGAAAGAACCCGCTCTATGGTACTTACCTTAATGGGGAATTCTTAGAGATGAAGGGGGAGCGGTAAGGTGAGTAAGAACGTGAATCTACAGCCTGCAATCTGATACTGGAGTCTTGGAAGCAGTATTGGTATGCTAAGTAATTGGGGGGTCCCTGTCATTGCCAATGATATTGTGCTGGGCAATGAGGACACTATTAATTTGTCTTGCATCACATTATGTACATTGTCTTCAACTCTAGAGCAACCACAGGTACATTGTACATAAATTATACTACTGTGTGTGCAATTGATGTGTTTATCAACTGTAAACCTCCCATGAGTGAGTGTAGTTATTACCACTGTGGAATACCAAGAATACTCCTCCTTATCCCATGTCGACACACACACACACACACACACACATGCACACATGCACACATGCACACACACGCACATGCACACACTCTCTCACACACTCTCACACACACGCACACACACACGCACACATGCACACACACACACACACACACACACACACACACACACACACACACACACATGCTCACTGAAACAGAAACTACATCTTGAGATGCTGAGTGACAAGCCTCGAACACTGGCCTACAGGACGGCATTCGAGACTGCGAGAGCCTTCATCCAGGGAAAGGTTAGTATGGACGTAATACAAGACAAGCACATCTCACCAACTCAGCTATACCCTGGACAACACTTTTGTTAAAGAAAGAGCTGCCTTGGGTGACTCATGAAACTGCTCACGCTCGCTCACCAAACAATGCGTTCCTCTAGCAGATGTATTGGTGTTTGCATTTGTGTTGTATCGTAGACTTTAGCCCTGTTTGCTGAGCCTCCCCGTTAGTTTAGCAAGAAGAGTGGTTTTCCTAGAGAGCAGAGTGTCGTGGGTCCAACTCCCACTCAGGGCAGCTATTAGGGTTGTCCTTGTTTGCTTTTCACTTGCCTTGTGTGTTTTTTTGTAGCTTTTGTTACTCTACAGTGTGTGCTTTTGTTGTGCTTGCTATCAATGTCTTGTTGTTGTCCATGTTTGGTTGGTTGATTCATATACTGTCTGCATTCCGTTCCATAGGTGGTACTGGATCTGGGGTGTGGGACTGGGATCCTCTCTGTGTTTTCTGCATGTCTTGGAGATTCCAGAAAGGTATATAATAATATGTATATAGTATGTGTGCATATTATACGTATCACAGTATAGCTACATACTTATGTACATAGCAATGGTGCTGGGGTTCAGTGTCCATACCTTTGATATTGGTTGATATGGGACTAGTTGGTTTTGTTAGGGAAAGTAGTTTCAACAGAAATGCAGCTCATATACCCAGGGGAACAATGTACTACTGCATGGACACTCAAACATGGGAAGGCAATGAATGTTCTTTGGGCGTGTGTGCGCGTGTGCGTGTGCGTGTGGGTGTGGGTGGGTGTGGGTGGGTGTGGGTGCTTGCGTGCGTGCATGTGTGTAACTGCAGCAATATGCAACCACAAACTGTTCATTCACGTCTATTATGCCCATTTATGTATGTAGCTACCTTAAGAGCATAGTGTAAAGTTGATTGTGTGTTGGACGTTGCCCTGTGAATCAGGTTGGCTATTGCTGGAATAGGTAGCCTCAGCCACTATTGTGTTCTTTACTTGGTATACCTCATTGGTACAGATGTCTCTATAGCAGAGTGGCGCCGTGCGCTTCCTACACATTACGTAGAGGAAATGCTTGTAGGAGTCTTTGGGCAAGTGGAGCAAGCGCCCTACCTGTAGCCAATGTGTAGATCTGTCGTCTGTAAGAGAGGGTTGGGTCTAACTGTAGCCCTACACTGACAGCTATTTCTCTATTTCGCACCATCCCTTCGTCAATTGCTCTGATCGAGCTTGTGGTCTATGTGAAATAAGACACCGTGATTATACCATACAAAACCATGCATGCCATTGTCTATATGGCCCTGGTGCTGCTAATGCAGCTTCCCTTGAACCATTGTCTCGAATGAACCCTGAATCCCTGCCTGCTATGCACTGTTCTACAGGTGTATGCAGTTGAAGCCAGCGACATCTGCGAGCAAGCAGAGAGGGTCATATCCCACAACAGTCTGTCTGAGAAGGTCAGTGTCATCCAGACAAAGGCCGAGGACCTGGAGCTGCCAGAGAAAGTGGACCTCATTGTGTCCGAATGGATGGGCACCATGTTACTGGTGAGCAACTAACTACCCATGAAAAAACATGTTTATAGCATATTAGCCAAATAAATAGACTCATAGAAAAATATTTAAAAAAATTATTAAATAAAAACTCTGAAACTTACGCAGTACGACGATGCATTATGTATTCCTCCATAACAGTGTATCGCTGTACTATTCAAGCAGACGAACCTTCAAAACTCCGATCGCGACACTTCCTTGGTGTGTCTCTGTGTGTGTGTGTTTGTGGAAGTGTGTTAGGATTTGTGTACTCGGGTGGAGGACGATTTGTGGTTGTTTCTCTTCTTTCCACTTTTATCCTCTATTAGCTATGTACATACTGTAGTATGCTATACGCATGTGTTTCATGCGTCATTAATTCCACCACGTGTGCCGTAATTAGAGAGTTCTATGCTCACCCATACGTCAGCACTTCATCAAAAGAACGGCACACTGGCATTTGCAAGGCCACGAGTGTTCCCCGGGGGTACACGCTGAAGCATATAAACAATCGAGGAATAGTAAGACCCTAGTCCAACTGAACACCAGCCCAACTGAACACCAGCCAGAACCTCTTCCTATGTACTTGATTACATTATAGCCGCATGCGCAAACAGCTTAGGAATGCTGAGCAGCTGCCTTTAACCCTTTTGGTCACAAGATGTTGTAACGTCAAGAAAACTCGCACATTTGTGAACTCTGACCCGGTAAGCAGGCGGCATGGCGGCATTATCTCATAAAAGCCACCCACGCATCCTCAGAGGTGGTCAGTCTGCACTTGCATGTGTTGATGTTCCTTTCATCTACCCTTTCAGTACTTAAAAAAAAGGAACAAGGTCCGGATTGAGTGAGACATGTCATAAATGTCTCAGCAGGATGAAAGGCAGGCAGAGAAGCTGTGCGTTGGTCTGTAAAACAGCAGAAAGAAAGACCGCCACAGCGCGTGTGCGCGGAATGAAAGGCGTGTGTCGATTTGGGCAGAATTTCGCATGCATTGGGGAGAGTTGCTGCCGATCGGGCGCAGAAGCCGAATTCGTGACTGAAAGAGTTAACATTTGTTCATCTCTGGCTCATTTAAAATGGGTAGCGAGTGGTTCTTGGCCGATGTGTTTATTTATCTCGTATCCGCAGTTTGAACTGATGATAGAGTCAGTGCTGGTTGCCAGGGACAAGTGGCTAAAGCCTGTAAGTCACCATTATCACATTGTTCTACGTACACTACATCCTTTATGTCGCACTATTTCCTGAAACTAAGTCTTAGGTTACATTTAGTGAACTCGTTTTTCCCAAGTACATTACACAAATTATGTCTCCCAGCCTTGTCACTTCATTTGCCATTACTGTCACGTGACAGCCATGTGACGTCTGTGATCAAATTAATCATCAAGGATTGGGGATCATTTCGATGTGTAATATGTTGGACTGTGGTTCAGCATGGCTCAGACAATTGACCTGGAGTGATAATATACACTTTCTACTGTCTTGCTGTACAGTGGAACCTCCGACAAGGGACCCTCCAAGATACAGGGACAACCTCTCTACTAAGGACACTTGTTTCAACCCCATGCTAATACTTTAGTGCATTATATTACCTCCGAGATAGGGACGACCTCTCTACAAGGGACAAATCATTGGCCCCATAGTGTCCCTTGTTCGGAGGTTCCACTGTACCTGCCTTGTCTGGAGTGCTAATATCAAGAAATTGGGGTTCCAAGCACTGAACCTCTGTTTCGAGGGTGTGGGTACTGTACGTAGTTTGGGTCTGGAGTGTAGCCATGTGGTGAGCCGGCCCAGTTCATGGACTGGCACTAATAATACATGTACCTCACAAGCGCAGTTGTTTCAGGATAATCTCCGTGTTATTGGTTGGCGTAGTTCTGAAGCCGTTGGAATCGCTCACAGGGCGCCTCATAGCCTGTAGTGCGATAATAAGCATCGACAGACAAACAGACGGACAGACCAAGTACTGTAACCCTCGCTGCGCATGCATGTCGAGGGTTAAATAATATGTCATAATTAGTGAAGCAAGTCATCTGAATCACCTGATCTTTTTATGTACGTGTAACCAACAATCATGACTCACCGCTATTGAAATTGTGGTAGAGTTGTTCAAATGTCGAGCTCTTTGACTTTCTTGCATTTCCTCACCAAAATGTGTTGCTGTAATACATAGTAGAGTATGTACTCTCTTCTGATGATGTGCTGTAGGATGGGGTGATGTGGCCGTCAGAAGCTTGTCTCTACCTCGCCCCATGCTCCGCCCACTCCGTCTACAACGAGAAGGTCATGTTTTGGAACGACGTCTACGGATTTGACTTCTCACCACTGATGTGAGTCAGCTACAATTATGACTAAAAACTTTACACGAATGGCGCAAAGCTTGCCAACTTGGTTTGGTGTGGCGGGCTACTTGACTGCTAATGTGAGTGAGCCACAATGATTACTGTATGACTATCTCTCCCTCAGTCCAGTGACCCAGGCCGAAATTCTGGGTCATCCTCTGCACAACCACGTCCTACCTGAAGACGACTGTCTGTCGCCCCCGGCAACTGTCGCCAGACTACTTCTGAAAACCGCCACCCTAGAGGACATTGAGGTATACTATACATAATAGTTTAAACACTGAGTCCGTATAACCGTTCCGAGAGCAGCGAGGATGCTACATATGTAAAGGGCCCGAGGGCTTCTAACGCGCGTAGATTTCAACAGACCAGATGCCTAATTTATTCGGTACGTAAAGCGCACTTGTTTTTTCGCGTGCGCAGGTTGCGTGGGGGAACGGCGCCACGTGCACTTAGTAAACACGATGTGAGTTACTACGAGATTTAGTGAGCACGTTTTCACGCGTGAGTGCTACTAAACCAAGGAGATATCTATTCTATTACGTCAGGATAAACTCATCAGTTGTATGGGTGTTTTCCCTGCTGCAGAAAATCACGTCAAGTTTCAAGTTCAAGATAACAAAAGATGGTAAGAGGGAAATCTTAATGCACCACTTTATCAAAGAGAATTGCTCATAACCTCAGCACACAAAACAAGCTACATAACACTGTCAAAATCGGGTACACATAAACTCCTTTATTTAAGGCATATCCACCTTTGATTAATGTGCCTAAATTTTTCATTTAGCATATTTTCTTGCTGCAAAAACCCACACATCCGTATACACGTGCATCTTCCGTCCGGTGAATGTCACTAGGAGCTCTGTATCCAACGTTATTCGGCTACTGTTAGAACTGCTAACGCAGGTCGTGATGGAAACCAAAGCAGGCACACACACGCACACCAAATCTTGCCCAGTGACAATTTCAAGGGTATGTACACCAGACTATGGATTGAACTATCATATGCAACTGCACCACGTTGTCTTTCACAAAATGCAGGAGAGTTCCATGGGTTTCGGGTCATGGTTTGAAGTAGAGTTTGGAGACGTCCCTGCAGAGTATGACTACAAGCCTGTCACTCTCTCCACTGCGCCTCGGGCACCGTGAGTGTGTGGTTGTCTTCCTCCCCTGCTTCATTTGGAGTTCCCTGCTCCTCTTGTCCCTTTTCTCTTTCCCTCCCAATGCCCAGTGTACATTAAGTTCGTTTTATTCCCCCGTGCATCCTCCCCCCGACATCTTCTCACATATGCCTGCCTTTCTCCGCCTTCTTCTTCTTCTTCTTCTTCTTCTTCTTCTTTGTAACCTCCACTAAAGGAGCTCTTGTCTATAATATGTGTACCAATGTACCATATGTATGTACACAGCTTTGTGAATATAGTTTTTGTTTTTTCTCTCTTCCCGATCTCATTCCCTCCTTCGTTCTCTCTTCTCCCTCTTCTCTTTACGTTCATCTCCCTCCTTCCCATCTTTCCTTCCTTCTCTCTCCTCCTCTTCCCCCTCCTTTCCTCTCCCTGTGTCACTCATTCTCTCCCTCTGTCCCTCCTTCCTTTACTCTTCCTCCTTTCCTCCTTTCCTCCTTTCCTATCTCCCCCCTTCATCTTTTCCTCCCCTCCTTCCCGTCATCTTCCTCCCCCACATCACCCACACACAGCCTCACTCACTGGAAGCAAGACCTGTTCATGATTGACACACCAATCTCGGTCAAGAAAGGCGACATGTTGGATGGAGTAATATGCATTCAGAGGAACAAGTTATGGCGACGTCACCTGAAGGTCCATATCTCATACACCCATTCCCCCATTTCTTCAGATTCAGTACCACAGGTAATTGATGAACGGGTGTTGTCGTAGTCTCCCTCTCTTTTTACTGCTTATTTGGTGCTGCTGAAGTAACCCTGTGAAGAAAGCTGGTAGCCTTACACACTTTATATAATATACCGAGTGTGACATTGGGGTTATGGTGACAAAGCTGTCCATTATATACAGTGGAACCTCTCTTTAATGACACCTTTGAACTGAGTACACCTTTCTTAAAGATACTTCTTTCTCCTCTTGCATTCTTTAAAGGACACTTATTTCTGCTCTTGCATTCTTTAAAGGACACTTCTTTCTGCTCTTGCATGCTTTAAAGGACACTTCTTTCTGCTCTTGCATGCTTTAAAGGACACTTATTTCTGCTTTAAAGGACACTCATTTCTGCTCTTGCATTCTTTAAAGGACACTTCTTTCTCCTCTTGCATGCTTTAAAGGACACTTATTTCTGCTCTTGCATGCTTTTCCCCCGAGACCTCTCCAATATATATACCACAATTCTGTCTCATTGGTTTACAGATAAGGGGGTTAAGGTTCGTATGCACTCATCTACAGTAACAGAGATGTATAGTGAGCCGAAATGAATAATACAGACATCGAAACACTACTTGGATTCTATGGTGCCTTTCAACACTATATAGCTCTGAGCGTTCTGTACTGTGCAGTATAGAAGACACAGTGTGTATGGCAATGGGTAAAGTATGCAGTGTGTTTCCATTGAGTATTGTACTTCTGTACTGTGCAGTATAGAAGACACAGTGTGTATGGCAATGGGTAAAGTATGCAGTGTGTTTCCATTGAGTATTGTACCACTGTACATTGCTGTATAGAAACTGCGTGGTATTGAAGAGTGGCTAGCAGTACATTGAGAAGCATTCAGTATGGGCTATGAAAGACGGTATAATGCATGCTCTTTCCATAACTATGTACATGGTCTACAAGACATAATATGTACCTAATACTTGGCAGTTACAGTATATCTGATCCAACCATTAAACAACAATTCGGTAAATTTTGCATTCACAGGATTTCAAGAAGGATTTTGCTCTCTGGAAATAGTCATTTTTCACCGTCACCATAGCTATTATCTATATCAGTGCCATTTTTACTACTGCGCGCTATTGTCGCAATCTCATTTCAATCTTCCACTGTATGTACCACTCACAGCCTATCATTTTTGTTAACAACAGCATAGACTTTTATAACAAACTCAAGAGAGTTTAAACATATTTTATTTATTTGTACATAATGCTAGTGATAGTATACACTTCATTATAGAAGAGTGTGATGTATATACAACATACCATACTCGAAAGAGTTATTCAACAATAATTATTTGTGTGTATACTAATGTGTAGCTATTCATCCCCAAGAGAAGTGTGTAATGTGCCCCTACAATAGCTATAACATCAACTGCAGCACCATGATCATCGATCGGGTTAGTTATCCAGTATATGGCCCGGCCACCAGCAGAAGGTTCTTGCGAGTGAAGTGCAGGGAGTGTACTGGAGTTGACTTGGTTGGCAGACTCACCAGCAAACTGTGGATTAGATTAGATACCACATGCATTTTATGGCACCCCTTAAATATCTATAGGCATCCTAGCATTTTAGCACATTATCTTGGCTGGTATAAAAAAAAACAGTTCACAGCTACACCTCTAATAGTAGTATGAACACACAACTAGCATCTGTACATAGAATTTGAGGGCTAATGTGCAATGTGGTGTGGTGGGTTTTGGAACAAAGTTATTATTATCACTGAAGCAGACTGCGCCAGAAAGATTAGATACACAACAAGCATCCTTTATAGTGTACATACGTTGATGGCTAATGTTGTGTGGAGGTTTTTTTAGAAAGGTCGTTAGACAATCTGTAACAGATTGACCAGAAAGGCTGGACATGTGGCTCAGATTTGAGTATATATATACAGTGGAACCTCTTTTAATGGACACTTGCAGTGACTTGTTCTGTTTGGATGGCAATACCTCTCTCTCAATAAAGGACGCCTCAGTATAAGAGAATTTTATGATAGTCCCAGTGTGTCTTTCAGTCTGATCTTCCACTGTATACTAGTAACCCATGCTGGGCAACTGGTGGACCGACAGCTTTCAATGACGCTGGTATGCTGTATATAGTAGTGCATGATGGGCTTGAGTCTAGCTGTGGCAGTGCGGAAGCATTTCGGCACAACCACTTGCTCTCATACATCAGGAGAGGGGGAAAGATGGGTCAAAGGTCTGTTCACAGTAGCTCACAGTATTGGGAACCCACACGTGTACAACACGGCATACCTAGTACATGTATAATCCAATTGTGCACATGCGCACTAGGCCTAATACAACAACGCATGCTCACTAGACCTACATACATACAATACTGGCAAATTGGATACCCGACACTACGGCGGAAAGCACTGCAGCGGTTTCCACTGTTGCATGGACCAAGATTTACGTACCTTCCTTGAGGTTCGTTTCGATTGCCTGTCTCTTCAAATGAGGACACGTCCCACAACCTGACACAGTTGTCCAGCCCTCCTGTAGATAAATACACCCAATCCTGCTTTAATACATGGTGTGCAGTGTTTCTTAACTACTGCAGGTGGACTGTTATACATAACTCATTACGACACACTCGGTATATACAATGGGCAGAGAAAAAAGACACCTAAAGCATACCCCATTTTAACCCTTTTGGTCACAAGGAGAGTTGCTGGGAAAAAACACAGATCAGGCGCAGAAGTAGAAATTGCGTGACTGAAAGAGTTAAAGAAATGGGAATCAAAGGTCTCGACGCAATTCAAGCACATACACAATGCTATTCTGGTCAGATACATCATTTTGCAGCAGCGAAAAAACCCTGTGACAAGATAAAATACTGCAGTGTATAATACCAGAGGCAAGGATGGTGCCGTCTCTGGAGAACACAAGCTGATAGACGGTGTCTGTGTGTCCCTTCAGCTCACAGACTTTGCTGGCTTTGCCAATGTCCCACACCAGAATGCGCTTGTCAGCTCCTGTACAGCCATAGTAGTATACACTCAGATACATAATATTTTTTGTCTGGAGCAAACTCATTCCAAATGTGGCAGTATTATAAGTGCTACATTCACATATGTACTCCCACATTCCCTTTAAAGGCCATGCAAAGTTCAGAAAAAAGTTGTGTGGGTATGTATACAATGGGGTCCATGTAACAGAGTGCATGCGATAGGCATTCTTCAACTTTGTGGACCCATCATACCCATACAACAAAGTTGCATGATAATGTAACAAAGTTGCGCTGTGTATCATGCATGGGTTCCGAGTACATACCACACTGGACTCATATACTGGAACCTTAATGCTTTGAGGACGTATTTACCTGCAGATGCTAGTAGTTTGCCATCAGAGGAGAAGGCAAGGGTGAAAGTGGCTGCCTTGTGGCCGGTGAATATCCTGACACAGTGACCGGTTAGAATGTCCCACAGTCTGACAGCCTTGTCACTAGAGCCTGTCGCCACGTAGTTTCCGTTTGGATGGAACTTCACCACCTGTGGTGAGGCAGGTAGGAGGAGGAGGGTGAGATGGGGAGGGGGGAGGAATAGAGGGAGGAAGAAGAAGAGAAGAAAGTGATGAGGAGTGAGGAGGAAGGAGGGGGTGGAGGAGGGAGGAGGAAAATGAAGATTGAGAGGTGAGGAGTTAGGAAGAGAAGCAGAAAGAGAAGAGAGTGAGGGGGGAGGAGGAGGGAGGAGGAGGGAAGAGGAGGGAGATTAAAGGAATGGGGAGGAAGGACGAACAAAGAGAAGCGGATGAGAAGAGGCCAGAGAAGGAAGAAGAGAGTTAGGTGGAGGAAGAGGGGGAAAAGAGAGAAGAGTGGAGCTGGCCCTCCGCTCCTCTTTCTCTTCCCTCTCTCCCTCCCAACCTTCCTTCCTCCTCCTTCCCTCCTCTCTCTATTTACTCACCCCACTCTTCTGCCTCCCACCCTTCCCACCCTTCCCCAGACACACCACTTACATCAATATCACTGAGGTGTCCAGCCAGTATTCTCAGTGGTTGGATGTGATCAGTACTCCACACTCTGGCCGTGCGGTCGTGGGATCCAGACACAAAGTATAACCCCTGAGGACTGGACAGGCACTCATTATTATAATTACACCCATTGTACTAAAACGAATGCAGCAAACAGGTGCATTATGCAGGCATCGACGATTACGAAACTTCAGTTGCAAACGTGTCTCGTAGAACATTACTGTAAGGGTGGCAACATTAGATACAAAAATAGAAAACTCTCGCATTCAGACGACTAAGACGACTAAGTTGGCAGTTAAGTGCATTGTGACGGCTCTGTCGGGGACTGCACATACCGTAATGTACTACGTGAGCGGCAAAACACGCTATAAATATTGAACTGTTCGCCGTCGCTCGCCAACAATGCATTGCATTCCTCTAATAACTGCATGTATATACATATGTATGTATGTGTACTGTATACCTGAAGTTGATGCTCCACACGGGGTAGTTGTGACCCTTGAAACACACCAGACAAGTATAAGACTGAAGACTCCATAGTCGAACTGTATATACATGAATGACATACACACGGGGGGAAGAGCAACCGGTCTTATTGATCCAGAGGAGCTAGCATGCTTACATACGTAATACACACACACACACACACACACCACACACACACACACACACACACACACAACACACACACACACACAACACACACACACACACACACACACCACACACACACCACACACACACCACACACACCCACACACACACACACACACACACAACACACACACACACACACACCACACCACACACACACACACCACACACACACACACACACACACACACACACACACACACACACACACACACACACGGGGGAAAACTGGAAGAAGGTCACCCATCACCTAAAGTACTAGGGAAGTATTGGTTTTACGAAAACAAACCGGCTGGTGAACTAACTACCGCGCATGGCTACCACTGCTCCCCTCCCCCAAAGCCGATCTCGGAGACTGCGAGGTCAGGACCCGTGTCACCGAAGTCCAACCCTGTGGGAGTGGTTGGGAGCGTTGCCACACCCCCCTTTCAGGGGCTCCGCCCTCACACCCAGTGGAGGAAAAACAGCCTGTTTCATTGCTTCGACCAAAGGGTTTGTGTGTATTACCAACGATAATCCAAAGCATTTCTCCAAATACTAGTTGGCACATAGGCTGTGGTAGGTATATACCAAGGGCTGGATGCATCACAGGGCTAACTGACTTGAGCAATGTGTTTTTGCGTTCACTGGCGTGCCATGAACCATTGACTGGCAAGAAAAATGTGTGTATGCACGTGCATACAGTATTCCTAGTTTTGGGGGCACTTCAGGTTAAACACATCCGTAGTACAAAACAGCACACCCCTCCTAAACACATTTTTAGTCCAACTTCAAACAAGAGTATCTCCTGTACCGCCTCGCCGCCTATACGTTAACTCATACATATAGTACAAAACAGCACACCTCCTTCCTAAAAACCTGACAATTAAACAAAAACCCACGAATCTTTATCAAAGGTTGTAACTTAAATAAATTAGACTAGGGCATTGACTCTTACTCTGCCGTTCGAAACCCCACTAATTAGGACATTCTAATGACGACATTTGATCAGAAAACCTCATCAACCAAAAAAACTTGTCAAATTAATCGTGACATATCTTCATAATCAATCATCATTATTTTAAACACTTGATCAAAACACCCCAATTATCGGGAAATTAAATAATCGGACATTACACACTAAAGGGTATAAGTACCTGTGTGTTATAAGGCCACTGTGCAACTTTGTGCGTGAGACGAAATATGTAGCATGCAACTTGGGGAATGACAGACTGTTGCAGGCTTGCAGCAACAAAGGTGCTAATAGGAAGTGCATGCAACATGATCATCTTACCCACACATTGCAATTGGTTGCATGCAACCCTGTCTCACCCAACAAAATATCATTTTACACAACTGTACCGACCTGTACATTTGGGGCACTCAATTATCGCAAGTTTGAAAAAGGAAGCAAAGGATTTTAGCTACTCAAGGATTGGGGATAGAGTAATCCTAGTAGAACGAAACTAAGCTCAAACTCTGAGAGTAGGGCCATCTGACCTACTCAGGTTTGTTAAACTTGTGCCACCCCCCCTCCTCCCCCTGTATATTTACCCAAACACATGCATTCCCCACCCTCCTCTGCAAAACAAAAACCTTCATGTGTAATGAAAAGGTACAGTGGGCAGTGTTGGCTGACCCGTGCCGTCTTCCGAGCCGGAGGCCAGGAAACTGTTGTCTGCATTGGAGGTTGTGCAGTAGACAGGACCGGCGTGACCCACCAGAGTTCTAACGTCACTCCCTGCACTGGGAATACCACAACACATACATATCAAGTCATACTAACCTCCATAATACAACAACACGCGTATTATTATACAACACATATCAAGTCCCAAGTCATTGTTATGGCCGTATGAGTAGGAAAATTACGCATCTCAATTCATTGGACTTCAGTTGTTGTGCAACTGCACATCTCAAGTCATTGAAATTCAGTTGTTAAAGTGTAGCCATAATGTACGCAACTGCACATCTCAAGTCATTGAAATTCAGTTGTTAAAGTGTAGCCATAATGTACGCAACTGCACATCTCAAGTCACATTGTTGTGGCCATAACACTAACCTCACTTGGCAACTGCACATCTCAAGTCATTGAAATTCAGTTGTTAAAGTGTAGCCATAATGTACGCAACTGTACATCTCAAGTCATTGAAATTCAGTTGTTAAAGTGTAGCCATAATGTACGCAACTGTACATCTCAAGTCATTGAAATTCAGTTGTTAAAGTGTAGCCATAATGTACGCAACTGTACATCTCAAGTCATTGAAATTCAGTTGTTAAAGTGTAGCCATAATGTACGCAACTGCACATCTCAAGTCATTGAAATTCAGTTGTTAAAGTAGTACGCAACTGCACATCTCATAGTCATTGAAATTCAGTTGTTAAAGTGTAGCCATAATATACGCAACTGCACATCTCAAGTCATTGAAATTCAGTTGTTAAAGTGTAGCCATAATGTACGCAACTGCACATCTCAAGTCATTGAAATTCAGTTGTTAAAGTATAGCCATAATGTACGTACGCAACTGCACATCTCAAGTCATTGAAATTCAGTTGTTAAAGTGTAGCCATAATGTACGCAACTGCACATCTCAAGTCACATTGTTGTGGCCATAACACTAACCTCACTTGACAACTGCACATTGCTCCTGCCAGGCAGGCATGAGATCACTGAGCTAGTGCCAGAGCACACCTGGGTGACATACAGTCCCCCTCTATCTCTTTATTTGTCATGCTTCGCAGGGGACACTTTTACCCCCAAATAGTAGGTATGCTATTATTGAGACCGCCTACATTTGTTGCAAGGGGGCTGATTGGGAAATTATATCTCTGGAGTTAGCTGACACTGCATTGCATTAGAGTATGTGACATATTATTGCGAACCATGCTTTCGTTTGAATGCTGTTAGTAACATCATTACCTCATGTCCACAATCCTCTCCATCACGTCCTCTGTGGTGGCCAAGAAGGCAAAAAAAGTCATCAGGATTAAGAGTACAAATATACACACACACATATTGCATACACTGTGCAAACGCATCACCCTACTAACAAACCATGCCGTTAGGTCTTTTCACTATGCAAACGCATCACCCTACCAACAAACCATGCCGTTAGGTCTTTTCACTGTGCAAACGCATCACCCTACCAACAAACCATGCCGTTAGGTCTTTTCACTGTGCAAACGCATCACCCTACCAACAAACCATGCCGTTAGGTCTTTTCACTGTGCAAACGCATCACCCTACCAACAAACCATGCCGTTAGGTCTTTTCACTGTGCAAACGCATCACCCTACCAACAAACCATGCCGTTAGGTCTTTTCACTGTGCAAACGCATCACCCTACCAACAGACCACGCCGTTAGGTCTTTTCACTGTGCAAACGCATCACCCTACCAACAAACCACGCCGTTAGGTCTTTTCACTGTGCAAACGCATCACCCTACCAACAAACCATGCCGTTAGGTCTTTCACTGTGCAAACGCATCACCCTACCAACAAACCATGCCGTTAGGTCTTTCACTGTGCAAACGCATCACCCTACCAACAAACCATGCCGTTAGGTCTTTTCACTGTGCAAACGCATCACCCTACCAACAAACAATGCCGTTAGGTCTTTTCACTATGCAAACGCATCACCCTACCAACAGACCATGCCGTTAGGTCTTTTCACTATGCAAACGCATCACCCTACCAACAAACCACGCCGTTAGGTCTTTTCACTATGCAAACGCATCACCCTACCAACAGACCACGCCGTTAGGTCTTTTCACCTACCAACAAACAATGCCGTTAGGTCTTTCACTGTGCAAACGCATCACCCTACCAACAAACCATGCTTAAAGTAAGTCTTACACTAAAATGTGCTCAATGGGCTAAGCAAATCCACCATTCTATCAACAAGCCATGCTGTTAGAGGCCTACAGTATAGCAAGTAGGTCAATGTGTGAATGCACGAAATGCGCTAAGTCTCACACCTGCAGTGAGAGTGACTTGCTGCATCTGAGACGGAGGCTTGAGGGAGTAGAGTCTCTTAGGACTGAGGCTCCAGACCTTGATACGAGAACTGCTGAAGGCAGCGGCCAGGAGACTGGAGTCATCTGATATACTGACTCCTGTTAGACTGTGTGGGTAGGTGTAGGTGTGTGTTTGGTAGAGGGAGGAGGGGAGGGGAGGAGCGGAGGAGAGGGAGCAGGGGACGGAGCGGGGAGAGGGAGAGGGGAGAGAGAGGGAAGGAGGGAGGGAGAGGAGAAGGGGAGGAGGCGGACGAGGAAGGGAGGAGGGGAGAGGGAGGAGGGAGAGGAGGGGAGAGGAGAGGGAGCAGGGGAAGGGAGAGGGAGAAGGGAAGAGGGAGGAGGGGAGAGGGAGGAGGGGAAGGGAGGAGGGGAGGGGAGATATAGAGGGTCGAGGAGGAAGAAAAGAAGAAAGGGGAAGGGGATGAGGGAGAGAGAGGGAAGATGCGAGAGGAGAGATGGAGGAGAAGAGGGAGGGGTAGATGGAAGGAAAGGGGGGAGAAGAAAGAGATGGGAGAGAGGGGGACAGAGAGGGGGAGGATGAGAGGGAAGAGAGAGAAGAGACGAGACAAAGAGGAGAATAAGAGAGAAACTGGTTAACATAATCACTCTACTTCGTTTTTGACTCCCAGTCATCCCCATACATCTATGATGCAAGGTATATACCCTCTCTACTGCATAAGTTGTTTGGTGAAAGGTATCCTATTAGGCTTCAGAAGGTAGTTATGTTAACTCACTCCTGATATGTGTTGAGGAGTGTGTAGCAGCAGACCGAGGGGAGATGGTCTGGACCGAGAGGGACACATTTAGCGGACTCCTTGAATGCCGTGAACTTTGCCAGCTGCTCGCAGTCACGTCTGAAGACCACAGGACACCATACATTCAGTGTACACACAGTGACATACATACATACATACATACATACATATGCAATGTACACACAGTGACATACATACATACATACATACATATGCATTCAGTGTACACACAGTGACATACATACATACATACATACATACGCATGCAATGTACACACAGTGACATACACACATACATACATACATACATATGCATTCAGTGTACACACAGTGACATACATACATACATACATACATACATACATATGCAATGTACACACAGTGACATACATACATACATACATACATACATACATATGCATTCAGTGTACACACAGTGACATACATACATACATACATACATATGCATGCAATATACATACAGTGACGGGGTTTTTTGTGGCACCGCAGAGTGTTTATTTTTGCATTTGCCTTGTATTGTACTGCAGACTTTTGAGCCCTGCCTGCTGAGCTGCCATGGTACCTAACTCAGTGGACAGAGGTCTCTCTACCTGTCTAGAAAGCAGAGTGTTGTGGGTTCGAATCCCACCCTGAGCAGCTCTATTTTCTTTGAAAAATATGCTTTCCTAGATGTCGTTGAATTGTTTGATAAGCTTTCCCCCTGTGTCGACACCCCGTGATTCATGGATAGCCTCATCTCTCTCAACAGAGAAGCAAACACGGAGGGGTAATACATTTCACACATGAATAAAGAAACTGGCATATCATCCGCTATCGGGTTTGGGCATATCATCTGCTATTTGTGTAGTGAGTATGGTCAGGATAAAGGCCAGGCATCCTACCTGCCCACACGTAGCTCCCTGAATATGGAGAGTAGTGCTAGGAGGACAGCGTGTAACACAATATATTTGGTGTAATGAAGAAAAAATGTAGTAATACATACACATACACACACACACAGATTACATACATATGTACTCATCATTGCAGGCACAAACAACCACTATACGGATGTGTATTGGGCCTATTTTGAATTTTTGTGTGTTCACGACAAATAAAAAACCGCAAGCCTATGAATGGATGTAGGAAACGTTTACTTGCGGAATACGGGTTTTCACGTCAGCCATTAAACACATGGGGGGTGGAGGAGGGTGACTTCTGGTTTTCTTTCTTTTCTATTCTCTGTGGCTAGTATACTTGGGTGGAGGATGGGGGGTGGAGGATGGGGGGTGGAGGGTGACTTCTGGTTTTCTATTCTCTGTGGCTAGTATACTTGGGTGGAGGATGGGGGGTGGAGGATGGGGGGTGGAGGAGGGTGACTTCTGGTTTTCTTTCTTTTCTATTCTCTGTGGCTAGTATGCTATAAATATACTTATCATGGAAGGTTGTGTGCATGAGGCTCCCATATTTGGCATAGGAGTTCATTTGCATTACTTACGGCTTTGGAAGTGGGATCCTGTTCAGTGGTGGTGCATTTGGAACATTTGCCGACTTCCCTTTCTTCCCTGTATTATAAGCAACGGGATTAGAGAAGGGTACGGGTTAGCACTGTCGCACGACCAGCCTTGCGCGTGGCAACGATCATCGCTCTCTGACTCTGGCTGAGTCTCAAATCTGATTATTTTCCACGTGCATAAACTCTTTATACGAACGACAAGGTAAGATTACGTAATGAGTAATAAGTAAACAGTCTACGTACAGTGTATAGTGTACGCGGGTGCTACGGTATTATTCACTCACCTGCAGATCCATACGGGTCTTTTTTTGGCTTCTTTTTCTGCATGGGACCACAAGACACACAACAGTTGTACTCTAGGAGGTCCCTCACCACAACTCCTCCAAGCAGCAGTGTGTCTCACGCACAACTCACTCCATTCTCTCCCATTTCCCACTGTATACCCCCTACCATAGTGATCCCTCAAAACCACATGACTGTCCTGGGTTTGCTGGCCAACGTGGACCATGTAAATCCCACAGACACTGTCTCATGCATGGACTGTACACTTGTACACATAGAATGAATGCTTGCACACAGTGACCTTCTCTGTGACCTTTTGTGGAGTGGGGGACTATTGTGGCTGGGCAAGAAGTCCACCAAAGGTGTTACTAAATCATGAATATTTATGCTACATCTTGCACTGCATCTTCTGTTCCTCCTTCTGTCATCCCTCCCTCCCTCTTTCTTCTCTCCTCACTCCTTCCCCTTCACCTTTTGGTTTCTCGTCATCTCCCACCATCTCACTCTCATCCATCCCTCCCTCTCTCCCTCCCTCACCCCCCTTGTCTCCTCCCACCATCTCACTCTCGTCCATCCCTCCCTCTCTCCCTCCCTCGCCCCCCTTGTCTCCTCCCACCATCTCACTCTCGTCCATCCCTCCCTCTCTCCCTCCCTCTCCACCTTTGGTTTCTCGTCATCTCCCACCTCTCACCCTTCCATCCCTCCTCTCTCGCATCCGCACGTGTCTCCTCCCACCATCTCACTCTCGTCCATCCCTCCCTCTCTCCCTCCCTCGCCCCCCTTGTCTCCTCCCACCATCTCACTCTCGTCCATCCCTCCCTCTCTCCCTCCCTCATCCCCACCTTTGGTTTCTCGTCATCTCCCACCATCTCACTCTCCTCCTCCTCCAACTCCTGCAGAGCAGCGACCAGGTCTGGGTCCCTCGGAATACCCCAAAACACCTTGCTCTTGTTCGCTGCAACACAAACAAAACAAAACAAACAAAACAACAGCAAATATTAATGCTTGATGACTAGGTCGCGTGGCTTATGGCACAAGTGATATACATACGTTGCTGCCTCTTGAGTTGCATTCTACTGGTACTCAAAGGCCATGTGGAATTGCTCTCACAGATCCATCAGAGTAAATTGCAGCAAACAGGACAATTATTATGCACTTAGTATTGCTTTCATTGTTGATTGTAATAACTGTGATAGTTCATCATTACCATGCAATGTCCCAAGTTCCACTATGTATAATATATTGTCTCAATTCCTTTTTTTGTAACTCTCTCACACAAACTGTTCACATGTATGTGTATGCATGGAATTCAGCTCAAGCCTTGTATTGCGGTAATGTAAAAAGAAGAGATGCCCTAGGTGGGATTCGAACCCACGACACTCTGCTTCCTTGTTTCCTAGGTGAGCGCTCTACAAACTGAGCTACCAGGGCAACTCAGCTGGTAGGGGTTCGGACCTACAACAAAAAGGCACACCTCAAACCATTGCGCTATGGCACAGTATACTCTCATTCATGTCCTAAGTCTTCATGCCATACTACTAGAGGTTGGAGTTTGCATGCCTTGTCCTGCCTCCTGAGCTGCCATAGTAGCACATTAGGTAAAGCACTGAAGTTTGTAGGCGAGCGCTCTACAAACTGAGCTACCAGGGCAACTCAGCTGGTAGGGGTTCAAATCTACAACACAAAGGCACACCTCAAACCACTGCGCTATGGCACAGTATACTCTCATGCATGTCCTGAGTCTTCATGCCATACTACTAGAGGTTGGAGTTTGCATGCCTTGTCCTGCCTCCTGAGCTGCCATAGTAACACATTAGGTAAAACAATCTGCCTACACTGCAGAGTGTTTTCATACGTATGTTCAAGCCTGGGCAGCTACCTTTTCTTTGAATTATGCACTTGCATTGTGCTGACACCTACGTAGTGGTTCAAGTGTCTGCTGCCCCATAGCATGTCTCGTATTCCAATGTGTACAGTATCACTGAGACATGGAATTACAGCCTCTTAGGATTAATTTGGGATAAAGACCAGAAGAGAGAATAGAGATAGAATGAAAACAGAATAAAAGGCACCGAAACACCCTCAACAAACTCAATAGGGTATACAATGTAGCAATAATCCAGCCCATATTCAACGGGACTCTCCCGGGGAAAGAGACCACCATCCCACAGGCCCATTCAATGGAGTCTATGATGCGGGGTATTGCATAATTGCCAGTATTCCTCCATTCCCAATGGATTTTCCTGGAAATCACACTGTCCTGCAGGGCCATGCAAAATATGAAGCTGGGTATTGCCAGTGTTCCTCCATTCCCAATGGATTTTCCTGGAAATCACACTGTCCTGCAGGGCCATGAAAAACATCATTGTACAACTGAGCCTAAGAGGCTTGGTGTAATGCCAGCTGGAACCCTCCCTGCAAAACCACCTCCCTGCAAACGTGGCCATAAAACAAGGCCTAAACTAGAGCGTCTCACAGTATATAGAGCCATATAAAACATGGTGTGCTGTACACTTAGTATAATCCGAGGCTTGTTCTGTGCTATCCTCAGATTTCTGTGCAGAGCGAAGATCCAAGGTTTGGCAACGAAAATCCACACACGATGCTTTGCACAGTAGTTGACTTGTTTGCTTTGCCTTTGCCTCGTGGCCTTATTGACGTTTGCATGTGTAGTTGACTTGTTTGCCATCCCTTGCCTTTCTATTGTAAAATACATGTATATGTACATGGAGATTGGGCAGGGCAATGCTGCCGTTATGCATTCACTAAAACATATCCCCTGCAGGGCCCAGCATACGTATGTAAATGAGCTTGAGTGACCCATAAGTAAAAGGTTCTAGAGTGTGTGTGTCTCCAAAACTCTGAGAGAAAATGGAGACCTTTAGTTGGTGCCTCTCCATCCAGGGCACCCATGGAGGCCCGGATATCTAGTCTGGTCCGCGGCGTCCCGTCAAACACTGGGGGAGCGGGGGGAGGAGGAGGAGGAGGAGGGGGAGAGGGGAGAGGAGGAGGAGGATGGGGAGGGGGAGGATAACTAGAATCATGCTTTATTATGTAGAAACTGTTATGTACTATTCTTTAGGGGGCCTCTTCTATCCTTCTAAACTCAGTCCTTATGTACGGGCAATTTTCTTTTAAGCCCCATTTACATGATCAAATTTGAGAGTTTGGAATCGGTTTAGGCTAAACTAGAATCGGTTGTGTTTAACGTGTCCTGTAAAGATGCTTTCTGTGCAGTAGCTACAGTACACAGGATGTATACGTTTATACCGTATGTACGTATATACCTAGCTACTTTTGAGAATTGCCTGCAGAGTTTTCCTGGTAAATACAGTTGGTAGAGCCCTCTGTCTAGGCTTCATTGTGTGTGTATGTATGTGTGTCCACCCAGGGAAGCTTGTTCTAAGCGTTGTCCTGGGTGAATAGTTGATATGCACTTGCCTTGTACACAGACACCCTGTGATTCATACACATGTACGTATGTTCAATATTTTACAAAGAGGTATTGTTTTACTGTCAGAATGTTCAGATGTGTAGGGGCGTTGATGGGGCAGAGCGTTGAGAAGGACACATACAACACATTGTGCATCAACAAATACTTGCAGCATTTGTGAAGTAGCAGTATACTTCCGAGGGGGAAGATTTAGCGGATTTTGAAGTTTTTGAACCATCCATGCATGAGCATTGTGGGCGGTGATATATTGAGGAACCAGAGAAATCAGCGAAAATATTTTCTCCCTTAAAAGATTCCGTAAGTACAGAGTGCAACACAGAGTACAGAGTGCAACACAGAGTACAAGTGTGTGCGGCATATTATTGTACATATCTCACGTTCAAGGTTGATAAAGCTCTGTATTATCTTCAGAAGCAGAGTCTCATTCTTCACCTGTGGTATACATAGTAATACACGTATGATCATTGCATCGCAGGTACAGTATCTACGTATCTGTGTATAGTATCACCACACTACACTATCGGTTGGTTCCAGAACTTGATACGTAGTGTGTGAACATACGTTATAAAACAACGGCAGACTCTCTATTACCTGCAGGTATTTCTTAAGACACTGGTAGGAGTCACTGGACATCCTGATGGTGAACTTGCCACTCCTGCAGGAGGCAGAGAAAATAGACGGAAAATTTCGTACACAAATTTCTACTCCGATTATACATGTGAAAACTATGAGGTACTACATAGAAAGGCAAAGGCACAACAAACAAATCAACTACACCCAGGACAGCTCTTAAAGAGCTGCCCTATGTGGGATTCGAACCCACGACACTCTGCAGTCTAGGCAAGTGCTCTACCAACTGAGCTACCAGGGCAACTCAGCTGGTAGGGGTTCGAATCTACAACACAGGGCAAACCTCAAACCACTGTGCTATGGCACAGTGTACTCTCACATACATACATAGGTAACATTATTATAGTGAGCCCCACTGACTTGTCTATGCATTGCCAAGTAGTAAACATGACCGCTATGGGAAACACACACCTTAGAGATAGCATAATGAATGGAACACATCATTAGTAAGAGAATAGCTGTGCGAAATTTTAGAACTATGCAATACGCATTATGGTACGGAGAGCACAGAAAAATTGCTTAACTAAGTGGGCTAGCTTCGCTGGGCAAACAAGGACTAGACAAGTTTGAGAATGTCCAGCCAGGGCTGAAATCCTACATTTTACACGTTTCAGAACCGCCAGCAAGTGAGCTGAAGGTTTAACTCTGCTTCGAAGCTGCTGGCCTTCGCTGAGTGGTGTTAGCCTCTGCGGTTTTACCTTGGAATAGTAGGCCCCTGACTCAAGTAAGCTTTAATTGGGCTTCAATATCAGCCGGGCCACACTGACTGTACTGCGGTTTTACCTTGGAACAGTAGGCCCCTGACTCAATTAAGCTTTAATTGGGCTTCAATATCAGCCGGGCCACACTGACTGTACTGCGGTTTTACCTTGGAATAGTAGGCCCCTGACTCAAGTAAGCTTTAATTGGGCTTCAATATCAGCCAGGCCACACTGACTGTACTGCGGTTTTACCTTGGAACAGTAGGCCCCTGACTCAATTAAGCTTTAATTGGGCTTCAATATCAGCCGGGCCACACTGACTGTACTGCGGTTTTACCTTGGAACAGTAGGCCCCTGACTCAATTAAGCTTTAATTGGGTTTCAATGTCAGCCGGGCCACACTGACTGTACTGCGGTTTTACCTTGGAATAGTAGGCCCCTGACTCAAGTAAGCTTTAATTGGGCTTCAATATCAGCCGGGCCACACTGACTGTACTGCGGTTTTCCTTGGAACAGTAGGCCCCTGACTCAATTAAGCTTTAATTGGGCTTCAATATCAGCCGGGCCACACTGACTGTACTGCGGTTTTCCTTGGAACAGTAGGCCCCTGACTCAATTAAGCTTTAATTGGGCTTCAATATCAGCCGGGCCACACTGACTGTACTGCGGTTTTACCTTGGAACAGTAGGCCCCTGACTCAAGTAAGCTTTAATTGGGCTTCAATGTCAGCCGGGCCACACTGACTGTACTGCGGTTTTACCTTGGAACAGTAGGCCCCTGACTCAAGTAAGTTTTAATTGGGCTTCAATATCAGCCGGGCCACACTGACTGTACGTTCAGGGGCCCAGCGACTAAGCTTTATCTCGCGTGGATAGACAACTAAGACCAGTGACTCACGTGAAGAGCTCCACGAGCTCGTTGCTGTTCAAGTGAAGGGATGACGTAATTCTCTTTAATCGCAGGAGCTCCTCCTCATAGAAAGTCTCCTGTTTGTTCCAGTAGAGGGAGAAGAACGACTGAGCTGTGGTGAGGGACAAGGGGGGGAGGGGAGGAAGAAGGGGAATAATGATTGAGCTGTGTGGGGTGGGGGGAGGTGGGTGGAGAGGAAAGAAGAAGAAGAATGATTGAGCTGTGTGGGGTGGGGGGAGGTGGGTGGAGAGGGAAGAGGATTGAGCTGTGTAGGGTGGGGGGAGGTGGGTGGAGAGGAAAGAAGAAGAAGAATGATTGAGCTGTGTGTGTGTTTGTGGGGTGATCGAGGAGAAAGGGAGGGAAATGGGAATGGAGAGGAAAGTGACCAAACACAATAAGACCAGAGGCTGGGTTGTCAACTTCACTACACACGGCAGCTCAGTGGTCAAAATTACATGTATTTTTAGATGGACCAGGGTACCTTCAGTATTTTGTGCTTGTGCAGCCCTAGCCAAACAGAGACCAAAAGTTGTAGCTTATAGTGAAGAATACTGAAGTCAAGTTCTTGAGAAAACCTTAAAACAAATCAACCACAGAGAGCTCTATGCAAGCTACTATCTACCATAATCATTGCGATCGCATAATGCATACTGTTTCCAGCTCTAGATCACCTGCCTCTATTGTAGTCCAAATAAGGGCAGAGTGAGTGATGTCTCCGTCATTAACCTACACACTGGATACCAGTCCTAACACAAGGCCTCACTGTCAACTTCTGCTGCTTCTATTTTGCCTCGCAAAAGCTAATATTATGGCCTCTTCACAGAATTTTAACGAGGTGATGTTAGTGACGAACCCTCGACTAAAAGCTCGTAGATCACGTTCGTGTGCATAAGAACTATTGTGTACACAGTTATGTCGTAATAGGGCTCCGTGCATTAAAAGTATGATGTAGTGGATTTCATTTTGACCATGAAAGCAGCAAATGCTTGGCACCCGGCACGAAATGCACTCACTGTATGGCGAAATCTGCAGGCCAGCGTTGACCATATGGACATACATGGATTTGTTTGTATGCCACCTGTCACGGTTGGCTGTCTCAAAACTGATCACTTCATATCATATTAGATTTAAAGTGTTTATGGTACGCACTTCATACATTTAAGCCATATTAACACCCCTCAATAAGACGTGGTATGTGAATCAGGAACAATATTGTATTTTTGGCGAGCGAGTGCAAAACAAGTGTGTGATAAGTCTGCTCTTTAAATGACTCAGCATCACATTCGCACGTGAAATTATTGTCAGTTTAAAAGATTGTGAAATCAAACCTTTTGGCACGGCGGGCATATCCATGCATTATGACAATATTAAAACGAAAGAGAAAAATGTGCACCTGATGCGAATCGCACCTTGTATCTCCCGTGTGTCACTGTGCAGTGCTTTGACCATTAAACCACATAAGTTGATAGGGTGAACTTCAGCAACCACATACTGCCCTTAGCACTGAAAGTGGTCTATAGGCTTGCTTTACAATTGTGGTATAGCCTTACCCTCCACTGAATATCCAGCTCTGACCAAGTTGAGATAGAGGTGGACAAACACAGGGTACAGCAGTAGAGACAGCTCACTCTGTGTGTGTGTGTGTGTGTGCGTGCGTGTGTGTGTGTGTGTGTGTGTGTGTGTGTGTGTGCCTGTGCGTGCGTGTGTGTGTGTGTGCGTGGGAACCAACCACACAACGTTATAATATATTGGCTCGTTTGCTCACTTGTAATGGCACGTACAATAAAAACACCCAAGTACAAATCCTGGAATTTGTACTCAGCATGAACGACTATGGACTTTGGGGTATTCGTCTGTGTCCAGTGAAAATAAAGGGAGTGCATGTAATTATAGTCACAATTGTATAGAAGTTAAGAGGTTTGTAGTCATGTTACGTACCTCTGTGTCCAGTGAAGATAAAGGGAGTGTATGTTGTATAGCCACATTATACACGAAGGCTCTCAGACGTATTATCCTACGGGCATTCATGCGCATGCGCAAATTGTATAGCGAAGACCAATAGCATGCACACACAATGTGTGCCATGGTCATCTCACATATTTGCCCCCTTGTGGCCACACCCATTAAGTGTGTGGATGTACGTTAACACGTAGCAAAAATACTTGTAGCAAGTCACATATGCACACTTCATTTTTAAAGAGCCAGTCACTGCTTTAGAAGTTAGGTGGACCTTTTAACCAGTTAACTACTGACTACTGCCCCAGTTTTGGCATATTATATACCCAAACTTCAACCAAGAGTGAACATTGTAACGAAACTTCAACCAAGAGTGTATGTTCTGGAGACTGACACCTCTATCCATGGCCTGGGGGTATTCAAACATAATAGTGGTATTGAGGGGATTCTGAAGGTGCTTTGTGTGAGTGAAGCATGCAGCTGCGAGGCAACTACAGGGATTGCTTAGTCTTCGACTGCACGTAGGCGAATTATTTTTACTTCACATTCTTGGCTACGTCTGGAACAAATCCTAGCCAACCTGTTTGTGTTGCTGCCGTACAACTGCTGCTGCATACAATGCATGCACAATCAGTTACATGCCATTGTATGTGACATGAAAGGTGTGACATTTTGTCCAGCAAAGATGGTAGGTACACGTATCTTACCCTGTACATGTCCAGAGACCGCTCAACAAATTCTAGTAGACTGCAATGAGGGGAAGGGAAGCGGGAGGGAGAGAGGGAAAGAGAAAGAGAAGGAGGGGAAAGGGAGGGAAGGAGAAAGGGAGAGAGGGAGGGGAAAGGGAGGGATTCAGGGAGGGAGGGAAGGAGAAAGGGAGAGAGGGAGGGATGCAGGGAGGGAGGGAAGGAGAAAGGGAGAGAGGGAGGGGAAAGGGAGGGATGCAGGGAGGGAGGGAGGAGAGAGGGAGAGAGGGAGGGAGGGAGGGGAAAGGGAGGGATGCAGGGAGGGAGGGAAAGAGAAAGGGAGGGATGGAGGGACAGAGAGAGGGAGGGAGGATGTAAGATGGAGAGAAGGAAGGGAGGGACGGGAGACAGAGAAGGATTAATTGTTGCTGCAGCAGTATCAAACATAGTCTGGTATAAACAATGCGTGGACTGGTCAACACATACATTATCCTGGCAAACGCTTAGCTTCCAAAGCCACACTATGCATGTTAACTGCTGTTACCGCCATAACTTCTCATCCCATTATGGTCATGCACGCGTGTAGAACAACAAATTGCGGAATAGGAGTAATTATTTCCCATGGTTGCACAATGCTGTGTTTATGTTCGTGTATAGTGACTAGAACACACATAAACTCTATCCTCCCACTATTCCTTGGCCAAGGTTAAATGTTTGCTCACTTTATCATTGATGCTTGGAATCTGAGCCATCCCCATTTACACATGCCATGCATGTTATCTGTAATCCAAGAGCCTGGGAAAAACTGGGTACTGCAATGCTGTCGTTCATAAATAGACCCTCTCAAAATGCTTGATAGCTTTACGACTTACAGTAGCTACACACGAAGACTGGTAAGTCAAGCAGGCATTGGAATCCTAGCTTCTCCCATACCGTATATGGATTTTATAAAACGTTAATATTCACCAGAAAGCCCCTGGGTTCAACACTTCTGCCATACCGCCATTTAGGTTGATATTACCAGGTTTAATTCACACAGTTTTTACGCAATAGTGACTGCTGCTATCCTTAACACGGAAAATGTAGCAGCATTTGAGAATTATAATTATAATCGTTCTGGTCGGGTGAGCAAAAGCAAGATATATATATACAAAATCTATCTTTTTCAAACAAGACACTGTAGAAAATTGTGTGCAAAAACCAAAAAAAGTTGCCTTTCTTACTAAGTTTTGGTGTTCATAATAATCTGTACACGTAATGGATAGGAGTTCATTCAGTTTGGGGGGACAGGAGGCAATTGGTCAGCAGGGGCTCGATTCAAGCCTGAGTTTGAGCGATTGGCATGTTTGGGAGAGTGGTAGTGGGCATAATGAGGGGGAAGACCCCACCACGGGCTGCAGAGATGGAGAAGGCGGTGGGAGAAATTGAGAAGGGGCTGGTGAGCAGGACGGGGCTCGGGGTGGATGAGCACCCTCCGTTGTTAGAGCTCTTGCTCAGCTCCTCGATGGTGAAACTCGTCTTTGGCGACGGAGAGCGCTGCTTCGGGGAGAGGGACGGGGAGTGGATGGCCAGGAACCCACTGTTGCTGCAGTTCGACGAGGGAGAGATGGCGGAGTAGCAGGACGAGACCGAGGAGGTTGAGGACTGCTTCTGCTTCTGACGCTTGTTGCAGAACCACACGCGCACCTCTTCGGGGAGGAGGTCGCGTTGCTGGGCTATCGATTCGATGGCTTGTCGGTTGGGGCGCGGGTTCTGGCGGAAGAACTCGTCCAGTGTGGATTTGGTCTGTGGGGTGAACACTGCTCGCTTCTTGCGCTTGCGTGATGCCACTATTGGCACGTCGGAGTTGTTTGCGGGCACGGACTCTGGGAATTCGGTCTCCTGGAGCCATTTCTCCAGAACCTGTTTGATGGCAGCGGCGTTGGTGGCGCTCAGCTGCATCTGCTCAAATCGGCTGATTGTGCTCTGAGCAAAGTTGCTGTAGCCCTTCCGGGCGAGGGACTGTCCGACTGAGCCCTGCGTGTAGCCGAGACGGATGCGTTTCGTCTTGAACTCCTCCGCAAAGGCCTTTAGTTCCACGTACTGCGGGGTCATCTCGGAGGGTGGGATGGATGCAAGAGTCCGCTGTGCCGGGACCTGGCCAAGAACCCTGGGCAGAGGTGGCTTGTTCAGAGGAGAGATGATTGTCTGACCAGTGGCTGGCTCGGCCTGCGGACTCCCTGCAGGGCTTACAACCTGACGGCCTCTCACAAAGCTAGAACTCCGGGCGTGTGGCGGTAGAATTGCAGCGGCGGCAGACGCAGTGAGGGGACGCGTCAGAGCTGGGAGATTAGAGGGTCTTCCCTGCATACTGAAGATGAGTGACGGAGGGCTGGCTTTGATGGGCTTTGCCGCAATAGCGGCCGTTGAAACAAGGGCCGTGGAAGGTACAATGGTGAGGAGAGGGGTAAGGAGCGGCTGAGGCTGCGAGCCAAGCATGCTGTAGATGACAGACGTGGAAGAGTTAAAAGAGGAGGCAGAGGAATTGACGGATATGGGCCTGAGAGTGGCGGAGGAGCAACTGACAGCCCAGAGGGGTAGGGTGGGGGTGGGTGAGAGAGAGGGAGGAGATACAATCCCTGCTGGAGTTGCAACAGGGGTAGAGGAGGAGGAGGGGGTGGTAGTTTGGGCCCTGAAGGGGGCCTGGTTGAGGATCACTTGTTCTGCAGGTCTGCTGGGGAACTTGATGAGGTGGTGGCGGGGAAGACTTCCGGGCCAGGACATGGGTCGTTGTTTCTCGTACTCAGGGGAGGCTGGGTCAGAGATGTCCTCTTCGGCTTCTTCTTCGGAGTCGTCGTCTTCCCCGTTTGACGATGGGGGCTCCCTCATTGAAGTGTACAGAGAGTCGTCTGGACGGGGCTGCTGTGGGGTGGCGGCGGGCTGGAGGTCAGCCTCAGTAGAAGGTGAGGATGCGGGAGCTGGTCTGTAGAGAAGATGGAGAGAAGGGGAGACAGAGGGTGAGTCACTGTGGCACTATTCTTTCTTCCCATTCACTTCCGATAGGATTATCATCCCACACTGTCGACTTAGTTCTTCCCACTGGGACACATGTCCATAAATGTTCTAAGCTTGTATGGAAAGTCTTGTCGTTCAGTGCGGTGGGAAATTGGCTATGAAGTGGTTTGCAAAGTGGCCTTGATACTTGCCCACCCCACTGACAACCTGGCAGGGTAACTCTCGAGGCTATTGATCGCATCCCACAAATCATCATGCACAGCAGCCAGGTGTCGCCTCGACACACCAGCCAATGACATTATATTCACACAGACACACAGGTGCACTGTGTCTGTGCATGCTTTGCACGTTGTACGTGTGTTTACCGTGTGGGTGCAGTTGGACCTACCTAGAGTATGACTCCTGATACTTTGCAGGCTCAGTATCACTGTGCAATAGGGAAAGAATACCAAAATCAAAAATCATTTTGAGGGGAGAAAATTCAGTTATTTGAGAAATATAGGGGGTACAAAGCTGACAATACTGCTCTCACTTAATTAATGATTTGACAGGGGGGCAAAGCCATTTTCAAGGGGGTGCAAATATCCCCCTTGCTCATCCTAGAAAAAACCCTGAAAATACAAAAAGGCAGGCTCAGAGTAGGCAACTCTTGCAATGTACACTATGTACATACAAAGCTCACAATGTAAAGTCAAGGGGGGAGGAAGAGAGCTTACCTCTGTGGGACAGGTGGTAGGTTGGAGGAAGAGGTGTCCATTTGCGAGGCTCCTTCGAGCCCCAGCTCTCTCTTCAGGACCTGCTCTGTCTCCTGCACACAGGGAAACACATGTATTATCATACAGTTAAACTTCATGGTGAGAGGTTTCCAGTTGTGTCACTACATACACTTCTACATTTATGTAACTCCAGAATCCACAGCACAACTTAGTGGTTTCAAGACACTTGTTTTCCTACAATTTTCAGACTTTCAGGTGTTGCTATAATTACATTGTTTCTTTGTATGAGCCAGAAGGGAAGGCAACGCAAGAGAACAGACAAAGATGGCACAAGAGAACAGACAAAGATGGCGATAGAAGGTTTGGCAAAGAACATGTACAATGAACCCTACTTGCATATGTAGGATTGTATAGGCTGATAAATCTCTCAGTACCCAGCTTCATACATGTCGGTTGCCTAGGGATATCCAACAAGTACAGACACATGCTACGCATGCAGTCCTTAAAAAACGTAAAAACAAACCAAACGTCACATCCGCCAACTAACTCAATATCACCAGTTCTAACGCGGGGCTGGATCTGGCATGCTCCGGGAATGGCAAATAACAATATATGACAGCGACATATCATTCTTGGCACTCGGCAATCCAGTTACAAACTGTGTAACTACTTCAAGATTTTCCAACAAGCCACATCCTGCATCGCCCCATTCATCAACGTGACGTATGCAGACACAGATGCACCCAAACACCGGTGCATTACATGTCTCTAAGTAAGTCTGGGTTTTGTACGATTGACGCAACAGTTTGGGCTCAGTGATGCCAAATCCAGAAAAATGATTTTTAGGAAAATCCGCTCTCTCCCTGATGCCTACATATAGGCCTGCAGTAAGCCTCTGCCTATTATCGGCCTCTCACCTTCTCTTCAATCCATAACTAAGTACAGTTGATCGCCCTTTTATATCCTGTACCGAAGTCGTTAGTACAATTTTTAGGCCACTCATTTGCCTTATGGTGGCATATTACAGACCGCAGACACAAAGAAAGAAATGTAGCCCTTGCGGCGCACGGCCTAATAACAAAACATGAAGCAAGCATCAGGTTGAAGTAGAATTTACAATTTTAGGGTGCTCGACACCAATGAGCTGTCACTTTGTACAATACGAAATCCTTACACACATCACAAACACCCCTTATACATCAAAGCCTACCTGTGGTCGCTGAAATTTTAAATTTTGTGGATTTTCATCACCGGCACTACTGTGACCAATCTTGCTTGTAAATGCAAAATTACATCCTAATTTCGCCTCATTTTCCCCAATCACGTTAATAATTCAAAGGACACACACCACGCCCTATGTAGGAGCAAGCTGGCGTTGGCTCGCCAAAAGCCAATCTGTCTAGTAATCATACCAGCAAGCATGTCAATCCCCGCTTCCTCTTGTTACACAATTCCCAGCATATTAAATGTACAGGTCACAATAACCTCCAGTGTACACAGCTGCCTTATTTGGGCTGGCTCCGGTTTCATGCAATGGGCAAGTCATGTGAGCCACTTCCTGGGTGTTGAGTAAGATGTCTGGTTGCCAGGCACCTAAAGAAGTGGTCGCAAAGCATCCAGTGCCCATGGGAGTGTCAACAATATTATCAGTGTTGCAGATTGTGGTACCCACATGCAGATGAATGACCTTGTGAGAACAAAAGGGGCCAAATTACACTCAAAGCCACAACAAAACCCGGTGCCAGGGGGCGCCTTCTTGTTAATTAACACTAATCCCCTTTTCAAAGGCACAACACCTCAAGAAAGGTAGCGCTACGCCTAAGCAACCAGTGTACTACTCTCACACCATGACGTGCATGTAAGATATCCGGTAAAACCCTTCTCCCCCTCACCTTTAGCTGTTTGTCCCTGAGATAGCTCAAGACTGAGGCCAACGCGTGCTTGTCGGGGCTGGCGCCTGTTTCTTGCTGCTGCTGGGCCATCGTGCGGATCCAAACTCAAGTCGAGTGTTGGGGTCGTTCACAGGTGGGTAGGAAAGAGAGGGAGGGAAATCAGTTGACACCCACAACGGTCGGGCGGAAAACGGGATTAACACACACACACTACGGGGGAGCGTCAGAAGTTGACGCTGGTCGAATAGGGCGTAAGTTGCTGGCGAAAATAGGCCTAACTCGTCGGGCAAAACTTCAGGAAAGCCAAGTTGGCTCCCTACAATCCTCACGCTTCTACTGGCGCACTAGCACTGTTGATGCCCGTACTTTTAATACACACGCATGAAACGCAGAGATGTTCCGCGCGGTTTTATAGCGTGAAATGTTTCCGCATATCTCCGTGTCCCCCCGTATTTTCTTGCGCGGAGCGGCGGTTTTGGTGTGTATACCCGGTTCGCGTGGAGGGAAAGACCCAAAGCGTATTCGCCAGGAAGCAAGGGCATCACCGAAGCTTTCCACGCCGCTTTGAAGCTAGTTTTCCGTCGGGCTTAACGACGCAGGTGAGCCTGTACAGTCGACTACCAGTTTGGGGCACTAAATGGAATTCCAAGGTGGCTGTAGTCTACATGCGTACGTGAGGTGCCTCTGCATACAATTTGTAGGATAATGGCTAGTGACATGACTACAATGGAAGAAGCAACGGGTGTGCAGAGCGAGGTAGTGGCACCAGAGCCTGCACAGCAGGAGGGAGATGGTGGAGAGGTGGTGCAGCAGGAGGAAAGCAGAAAGCACCCTGTGCAGCGGGAAGGAGTGGAAGAGGGAGCCAGTGGTGGAGGTGAAGTCGGTGCGACAGTGGATTTGCCGGAAGCACAAGGTCTTTTGAGAAGTACTAAGAGAAACCCATTTGGTAGCTTTACAGTATATAACAGTTCTTATTTTGTTGCATTGACATTTCCACGCACACAGAGCCAGAGGAGGAGCACACAGAGCCAGAGGAGGATGAATATTTGAGTGTAGAGGAAGGAGAGGAAAAGGATGGGGAGGAGGAGACTAAGAAACAAGAAGAACTGGTGGGAGAACGAAAAGGGGAAGAGGAAAAAAGAGAGGGGGAGAAAGAGGAGGAGGAGGAGAAGGAGGAGGAGGAGAAAGAGGATGAGGAGAAGGAGGAGGAGAAAGAGGAGGAGGAGGAGAAAGAGGAGGAGGAGGAGGAAGAAGAGGAGGAGGAGGAAGGGAAGAGTGACAGTGTTCCCAAGAGAAGAAGGAGGAGGCGGAGGGAGGCAAGCAGTGAGTCAGATGGAGAGACAGAGGAAGGTACGTACGTATCTAACTAATCCACCCTCTCCATTTTTGAAAAGACATATTCTCTCGTGACCTTGACTAATGATGTTGTGACCGGAGCTCAGAAAGGGGGCAGGGACATTTCACCCCTTTTGGGAGAGCGTGTTAACAAATAAACATATTTTACTGCTAAATATGTGGCACAATGAACCCATGACATGCTGTTTTCTTCATGCTATATATACGAGTGCGAACTTGTGTATACATATGTAAGAGTTTGCCTGTATTGTACAACTGCAGGCTATGGTGACAATCAGCATTCAGAGGACACTCAAGATGTACAAGAGAAAGAGGTACTGTTGAAGCTGGTGACCTAGTTCTTTTACTGACTGTGTGTATGTGTATAAAGGTGCCTGCAGAAGACGAAGAAGAGGAGGAGGAGAAAGAGGAGGAGGGAGGGTGGGAGGAGGGGGGATGGGAGGAAGGGGATGAGAAGGCCGGAGATGAGGAGGGAGAGGAAGAGACAAGTGGGCCCATGTTCGTCCCAACCAAGGGAATCTTCTTTCAACATGATGACCGATGTGCATCAGTAGAGGGCGAGGAACAGGAACAGATGTAAATTTAGTTCCCAAGAAATATGTTACCTTTTTGGATGCAGCATGCACTCTTTTTATAATGGTACGTATGTGCCCGCCCACTGCCAACTGCACACTCATGCCTCTGGTATTGTCTTTGCATTTAATCAGGGAGCATGTGCATGCAGATGCCTTTGCCTTTCCTTGTGGTTGACACATGGAGCATGTGCTACAGGTGTGCGTGCTAAGAGTGTTCCACAGCCTTTGCTGAGTCAGCCCTGCCTTCTTGCTATATTATATAGTTCAGCTTCGAGAGCACTCCCTCTAGACTGAAGAGTTTTGTGGTTTGAGTCCCACCCAGGGCTGCTCACTCATTCTGTGGGAAGTGTGGGTGTTTGCACTCTTCCTTCATTCCTCACTTACTCATGCATGGTTGCATAACCACTTACAGTACATGCATAACTTAGTGCCTGTGCATGACTTGGTCTTCCTCACAGAAAGTACATTTCAGTCAGAGCAAGTCATTGCTGATGAGCTGGGCTCACTGAAAACTTGTCTCACTGTCACCTTAAGACTCATGCATGGTTGCATAACCACTTACAGTACATGCATAACTTAGTGCCTACACCATAACATAACATGACATAATAACTTAGTTGTTCAACAGTGCTAGCGGTAGTTGCCAATTACAAGAGAACACAAAACAAGCCTCTGCTGCCGTGGGTTACTAATAATCCTCTGTGTTCTACGGGGTTATGTATATATAATATATATGGGTTGCTGAAATAATCCACTGTTCTATGGATGCATTTTACTGTCCTTATCATCAAATTGTGCACACGGTTTTATTTCCATCTCTAGATCTACTACGATCTCGCTATTTTGAGATGTTGTGTCTGTCTGTCTGTCTACACGTGCTATTACGTACATTTATCCCTAAGTTATTTTAGTGACGGAAATGTTTTGATGTACGTACGTGTGTGTGTGTGTGTGTGCATCAATGACGCTGTTTATTCTGCGGCTTCTGTTTAGCAAGCATGCTGTCCGACTTTGCTATTGAAGCTTTCTTTGTGCACATCAAAATGTGTACTAGTGGAACAAAGGTGCTCGTGTAGGGTTTTGTGGTGTGATGTGCTTCGTTATGGACCAGTGGAAACTGTGGCGTTAGCTAAAGGCTTGTCTTTGTGTGTCAGTATGTAGCTGTAAATCCAAATAGCTACCTATTTTGCAGAAGATATTTCGTAACAACTGTGCTTTATTAACCCTCGGCGCGCATGCACAGCGAGGGTTACAGTACTTGGTCTGTCTGTCTGTCTGTGCGTATGTCGATGCTTATTCTGGCACTACGGGCTACCAGTCGGCCTATTAGCGATATCGACCGTTTCAGAACTACGTGAGCCTGAAACATAGAATGGCGAATTTCCTGAAACGACTGCGTTCGAGAGATATGTTGTGAAAACAAGCGAAAAAGCCAATATGCATAATCGGACTGGGCTTACCGCGACCTGATCCGCTTGCTCTGCGTACCTTGGTGGCACAAGAAGGCCAACAAAGGGCGTGTGTCGACTCCCGTATGCTATCTACTACTTGTCAGACTCTCCGCGAGCTAGACCACGAGTAGCCGTGTACTCATAGCCCAGCCCGTCAATTAGCGGTACCGTGCATGCGCAGTGCACTGAGGGTTTGCACTTTAGTGCTTTTCATTTTCAAGAGCAATGTACATGCTCCCCCATCTTTCTCTCTCTTCTCTCCATCACTCCTCTCCCCCCTCTGTACCTATAGGATGGTATGGAGGGTATATACATACATGCAAGCTATATACACTGAACACTGGTTTGCTCCCTCTAGCCAAACATTCAACTAGCTATGCGTGTGGGGTGCGTGTGTCCCATATGCAGTGTCCAATCTTTGTGTGAGATTGTGGGTATGGATATTTCAGGTTAATCTGTGTACAGCTCCGTCTGCTCTAATTGATTTCTTGAGAGGTGCACATTCATATTTGTGCACCCGACTGTCTGATTTTGTCGTGGCAGGGCCTGTGTTTGCGCGTGTTATTGTGTGTGTGTGTGTGAGAGTGTATTGGCATTATCTCAGGCTTCCTTTAGAAGGAATCACACCATGTGGCCCTCAGGATGTGTGACATCATATCGCATCATGGGCACGGCGACATCTCGTGTCAGATGCCAAATGGCATCGCGGGACTGAGCCCAGTTTTGTGTCTTGTGGTTTACATTCCCGCTGGATATTTCCTTTTATTGCCCGTAGTTTATTAATGCATAGTGGTGGTGGTCACAACAGTAACTGTATGTGTAGTACAGGTATAAGGGTAGGGTGTGTTATGATTTGTAGATTCAGTTCCTGTGTATAAATATGTACAAATATGTACATTTGGTAAGGGTGGGAAAACACCAGCATCACATCCTCTTCCAGATAATCTTCTGAAAAATGTAAACTGACCCAGCAGCAGTCAACTACATTTATGGTCATATAATTATGACTCTCACTGTTACAAACGTGTATGCTTGCTGCTTGCTCTATGTGAACAAATTTAGCTAATATAATAGGCTCTGGTTATTGGTTGCTACCAAGTACATTTGTTAAGGTGCATAAATATTTCGCCATTGCTTATAAGGGACATCTGCCCAGGGAGCCGAAGACCTGTCACTTTCCTCCTCTCTAACTTCACACTATTCATCAGACACACTTAACTGCTTACTGAAAACATGCACTTGCCTGTTGTCTAGTTTGTATCTTTTGTCTGTCTCTCTGCCTCTCCTCTCTCCCTCCCTTCTCTCTCTCCCCTCCCTCATCTCTCTGTCTCTTCTCTCTTCTCTCTTCTCTCTCTCCCTATCTTCTCCCTCCTCTCTCTTTCTCTTCTCTCTCTCCCTATCTCCTCTCTCTTTCTCTTCTCTCTCTCTCCCTATCTCCTCTCTCTTTCTCTTCTCTCTCTCTCCCTATCTCCTCTCTCTTTCTCTTCTCTCTCTCTCCCTGTCTCCTCTCTCCTCTCTCTGTCTCTTCTCTCTCTCTCTCCCTATCTTCTCTCTCCTCTCTCTATGATGCACACACACATACATACAGTGCTCAGTCTCCCGTGGTAAAGACCAGGGCTGACACAGCAGACAAGTGGGCCCATGACCTCTACATACAGGAGGAACAAGGGCCCAGAGGGCAGTGGGAAAAAGACCGAGTAAGTAAAATGACGTCAGCACACAGGAAGTGAATTTGGCAGTCTAAACTCGTGTTGTTGCTAGTGACCTTGTGATGGATAAATAAGTCTTTGTTCTTGATGATAAGTACGCAGCACAGTAGATATAGTAAGTTGTTGCTTGGCAGTAGATACAGACAACAACAGCCACTGGCGGTAGAGGCATATGCGAGGACGTGGAAAACAGATTTTGTGTCGAGTCATGTATCAGTGCTTGGTGTACTGGTCTTCCTGCGCACTAGCAATCCTAGAGAAAGGTGTTTCTTATCCTTATTAACAAACAGAGTATTAAACCCTGAACACAAGCCGTTCTTCATATTATTATTCTCTCAACAACTATGTCTGTACATTATAAATTCAGTGCATCTGTAATGTGTTTGCTATTCTTTACTCCAGGACCTCAAACGAATCGCTGACCTTGAGTAAGTTTACATACATACATACATACATACATACACACACACATAGATACATACATACACATAGATACATACACATAATAGATATATACAGACATGTAAGCAGGGTGATGTACTTATGTGTGGCCTCAGTTGGGACTTTTGTTGGCTTTCTTGTTATTTTATACCTGACGCTAGCAATTGGCCCAGTGTGCCTTAATTGGAATGTGTCCACACACTCTTACTCTTTAGCTAGCAAGTTCATTAGTATAGTTCACATTGTCAGATATTTTACAGTGCCGTAAAAGACTGATACATGTATGTAGCAGGTAGACAATAGGTTTCGGGTAACATACAGTCCTCGTGACTGTCTATCCAAGCGCAAATATTTGATATATACCCTCTCTCATAATGGGTGCATGGTGAACTGTGTAGATATTGCTACATAATATCATGTAATACTTCTTCCTCAAACAAGGAATCTGTGTGTTTCTCTGAATTATATACCTCACCATACCGTCTGTACACCTAGTTCACTAGAGCCCATGAAATGATGCGATTTTACAATCTTGTGAGGTTCCTATTCCAATGTAACATACGACATAATAGTGGAGGAAGAGATGCAGCATTTATAGCATGGGTGCATGATGTATTGTGTAGGTATTGCTATATCATGTAATACTTTCCTCAAACGAGGAATCTGTGTGTTTCTCTGAATTATATACCTCACCATACCGTCTGTACACCTAGTTCACTAGAGCCTATGAAATGATGCGATTTTACGATTTCCTATTCCAATGTAACAGTAGTGGAGGGAGAAATGCAGCATCATAGTATATATGTATCGACTTCGCATGGCCTCGTGGGCTCCTGTGACGTATTGTAAATCAAGCTCTGCTACGTACAAGTTGTGTTGTTTGTAGGACACGAGAGAGAAAGAGGAGAGGGAGGAGGGAGAGGAGGAGGAGGGAGGAGACGGTTGATGGGGGATTTCATCCCGTCCTCATCTTGGGGGGACGTGGGGAGGAGGAGGAGAGGGAGGGGAGGGGTGACGAGGGGAGAGAGGAGTCAAGACGAAGGACAGCAGGAGGAAGGGAGGGAGGAGAGAAGAGGAGGGAACCGGGGAGAGGGAGGGAGAAGGGGTAAATGGGGGGAGGATGGGAGGGGGAGAAGAAGGTGGGGGGAGGAAAGGGGAGAAGAGGGAAGGAGGTGGAAAAGTGGGGAGGGAAGGGGAGGCAAGTGGCAGGAGGGAAGCAGGGAAGAGGGGAGGAGAGGAAGGGGAAGAAACAGCAGGTGGGAGGGCAGTCGAAGTGACCAAGACACTGGGTAAGTCAGACTTATGTACATTCATACGTTTACCTTCTGTGTGATATTGTAGTTACAATAAGTATCCCAAACACAGTACATCAAGTTGTTTTGGTAGATTGGTGCGTGTAATGCTCCATTAGCAACTCATATTTGTTGAGCGAAGCGAGCAGTTCAATATTACGCGCGTGTTTTCGCGCATACAGAATCGCGTAAGCGGTACAGTACACGCCAAGAAAAGTTCCCACTACGCCGCCGTAGTACGGTGATACCGTAGCAAAATGTTCTACGGTGAATCTACGGTCGACCGTAGAGCACCGTAGCTGCGGTACCCTGTGAGGGTGTGGCCCACCGTAGTAAAGTGTATGTTGGTCGATGCACCGTTAAATTCAGACAACTAGGCTTGCCAATTATGTTTACACATCTAGTGATTTCTGATAATCATATGACGTACTCATAAACTCGTGTGTACACTGGTGTTCTTTTGTGAGTATAACCTGTCGTTTGTGTCCACGGTACCGCGTTGTGTTTTATAGAGGGAGAGGTGATGAGGGGACGCAGGACTGGGGAGGAGAGGTGGGTGTGTCATCAAAGAACTGGGGCGAGGAGGAGTGGGGGGTGGAGGAGGGAGACGGGAGGGACGAAGGGAAAACAAGAGATGCCAGCCCCAAACAGAGCACGAGGGGACAGTCAGGAGGAGGAAGGGAATTGAGCAAACGAGCCTCAGCAGAGAGAACCACTGCTGGAGACGTGAGGAAGGAGAGAGAAACTGGTACTCCGTCACGACAGAGAGAAAAGTCTGCCGAGAAGGAACTGGACGACGTAGAGAGGTCCGCATCCACTCGTGACCAGGGCACAGTCGAACCTCCCACCAGAGGATTCCAATCAATGACCTTTTCCCTGACTGCAGACAAACGACTTGTCGTGTCGTCTGAATCCGGGGGAGGGAGTAGGGGGAGGGGGAGAGGGGGAGGGAGGGGGAAGGGGAGAGGAGGTGGAGGGAGAGGGAGGGGGAGAGGGAGGGGAGAGAAAGACGATGGAGACTCACTGATGGTTGGTGCCTCGCGCACAGACCATCGGATTGCACCAAAACCTCCACCAAAAGAAATCACCTCGACAACAGCAGCAGCAGCACCGGTGGAACCAAAGCAGACGAAGCAAGTGAGCGCAACTCTTGAGAAATCAGAGGTAAAGCCGGCAACACCACCAAAGCCTCCCAGTTCTCCCGACCAGAATACCGACGGAGCTTCAAGGGAGACAGGGGAGGAGAGGGAAGGAGGAGGCCAGCCTCTCAGTGGCAGTAGTCCTAGTGATAGAACTGGAGCTGAGACGAGTGAAATGGCCTCTAAGAGAGCCCCAACTCCTCCCCCCACCACCGGCAGTCAGCCAGTGTCAAAGCCGAAACGCTACTCGTCAAGAAGGAAGACAGGTATAATACATACCACACATAAGAAAGTGTGTATCGTGTATTGTGAACTGCATACATACATACATACATACATACATACATACATGTAAGCTGCACCACTTTGGGAAAAGGTTACAAATATATTATGGATCTCTTTGTTATGCAAAATGTGGACTCCTTCCTGATAAATGTAGCTGCATTTGTGGTTGTAACGTTGATGTGGGACTTCTTTCCTGCTGATCACGAGTAAACTTACATAGCTGCATTCATGGTTGCAGCATCACAGGGTATCCCATTGATGTGGCATGTACTGTGTGCATAGTTCAGTAGTTCTCGATACTGAGGCCATCCATACACATATTTGCATAATATATCAGGTGTGGATAATATGTAGAGCGATGCTAATGGAATTGGTCCTTCCCAGGCAATGTTTACACTGCATATGTATGCACACAGACGCTACTGGCATTACTGCGTTTCCTCTCATGTAACATGACCAGCAGTTGCAGCAGTCTGTTTATCTACAAGAGCTTCCATATGGCGTCAGTATAATTTCCACGAATAACACTATTTTATCAGTTTTTTTTATAGAGTCTTCCACACTCGATTTCTGTTGCTAAAATGTGATGTGTACATGCACTGGAGGGTGGCCCTGTTATTGGTGAGCCAGTAAGCCAAACTAGTCATTTTATGCCAGTAGACTTTGCTGTGCATTGTGTGTACGTGTAAAAACCCCTGAAAATCTGCTCTCAGTGTTCATATGCCGATAGTGTTGCATATACTCCGTGCCTCATTAAAACCCTCTCCTGCGTGCATGGAACTAAAACAGGGAGTGGATTCAGTGCTACTGACATGCTTGGAAGCCTGCAATGGTGCTATATTTAGCAAGGAGACGGGAGGGAGCCCCTCCGCTGCTCAGTCTGACATAGGCTATAAAGCAGCAAGGGTTATGCACTACACTGTAAACTGTTACTGTTGTTTGACAGGTGGACAGGAGGGTGAGATGGCACCAGAAAGCTCGTGGGAGCTAAGACAGACCGTCGTCCCGGGAGCAGCAGCCCTCCTTCCGGGAGCCCATCGCCAAGCGGCCATACCCTCAGACCCTCATCTCCGGACCCTCTCTCCTCCCGCTACCCACCCCACCCCTCCCGCCAGCTTCCCTCACCGACCCCGGCATGTTCCACGGCGTGGTCCCGACCTCATCGGGGGGAGTACCTGTGCCCAGCAGCCAGCCTGCAGACTGGGCACAACTACAGCTCCAGATGCAAGTTCTCAGTCAGAGCAACCCGGCGTTTTACACCCAAATGCAGCAGTTCTTCTGGTCACAGCAGAACATGCTCCAGATGCAGCAACACCAGATGCACGCGGCGGCGGTTGCAGTCGCTGCACAGGGCTACCACATTCAGCCGCAGCCTGCCGCGGGAGGAGGAGGAGGTGGAGGCGTATCTGCCACCCCTGGTTTCGCGGGGACCGAAGGAGACTACAACGTGGCCAACGCCGGCGGAGCTGGGGGGCAGTACGTGCAGATGGCGCCCCCCGGGGGGCTATTCATTCCCCCCATGACCCACATCCCCTCCCCACATGACCACAACCTGGCTGAGGAGACGGACGCCAGTCAGACTCCGCGACGCAGTCTTGCTATCCCCATTGTCCCTCCCAAGGTATATACATAATATGGACACCAACTATGATGCTTCACTTCATGAATGGCTTAAGCTTATCCTTGTTTTCTTCTTTTTGCACATACAAACATCGAGCCGATGTGCCTTGCATTACTACAATCAAGCCTCTGTTTTAGGACATTGCAAAAATTTCAATCCCACATCCTTTCAAAATGAATCACTCATTACAGCTATAGCCTACACTGTTCTATGGCAGGAGAGTGTACGTACATATGTAGATACTCTATGGCGAGCGGGAGCAAGCCAAACCGTGGGTAGTACACTTAGATTGTCAGGCGAAGCCAGCCATGCGACCATACATGGAGATTCCTGCGCACTGAGAAGGCGTGTCTTGAAATAGCTACGCATTTTGTAGACAGTAGTCTGACTTTGGCCGCCAACGCTTTGCAAGTTTTCCCCTAAACTGCAGCCGAGTGCATGCTGTATGCCGGCAGGACTCACACAGGTGCACATAGTATGCCAGTCCGTCGTGCATCTCTAGCATGTAGTTCTAGCCAGCGTAGATATTTCCATGTGTGCACTTTGCCAGTCCGTGGTGTATCTGTAGCTGTAGTTCTGTAGACATGGTGCGTATGTAGGTATAGCTCTCTCTAGCTGTAGCTCTGCGATTTCTCTGTGTGTCCACATAGTCGGTGCACCTGGTGGTAGTCTCTCGCATGGCTGACGATAGCGGTTTCAAAATTTCAGGTAGTGTTTTTGTGTATGAAGAATCACGGTATGGGTGGCAATGCCGGATAGACAGCCAAATTTTGCCATTTGCTCACATGGTTGGCTCGCTCTTGCTCCAATTACGGTGATGTTATAAGCAGCTTACATAATATTATCGTCATCACTGCTCCTTTATTCTTCTCAATCCGACAGGAATAATGTTTTGAAGGCACTATTAAATCATGCATTGTACATGGAATATTCTATTATAGATTATATTTTGTACAAAAATAAACATTAGTGACACAAAACCTTGTTTCCTAGTAAACAACCACAGCACATACAAAAATGTCCACCACCATAATCACACCAAATTAAATTGTTTCCTTTAAAGTACAGCATTTTACAGTATTCTTCATTCTTTCTTGTCCGATACTTCCAAAACGGGTAACCCACACAAAGAAAACTGTTGTTAGGGACAGGAAACACAATGAATTGTGTCATAGGTATTTGCTTACACGCTATATTAGTATGACGCTTAATTAACGTAGCTGTGATGTCACGGTGTGTCATAGTGAGTCAAGTAAGCATTCTTGGAGGGCAGATACTAGCTGCCCGGCAACCGCCCGACGTAACTTCCTGGGTTATGATAGTTTGCTGATAAACATCATGCCCAGTGTGTACACCTAATTGGTGGGATTCTAGCTCTGTGGGGTATGTTTTCACATGTGCCTAAAGGCAAATCATGAATCCTTGTTTGCACTACTATTTATTTAAGTACCGTATTTTTCTGGGATAATTGACCTACACAGCAGGATTAGAAATTAGATAAATTTTTGCTTTTGTCAATCTTTGCCACATCTTTGGCACAGTGACGCAGAGGCCAGTGTGCAACCATACGTATTGCCAAAATGTAACTCACACAAAAAGCCGGTCTTACTCTTGAAGTACACACACAATAAATTATATATTTTGCATTACCCTCAAATTATAAAGTCTATACACATATTGCATCATAATACGTACGTTGATTCTTGTCTTGTTCTGTAAGTACTCCATCCTCACTCTAGAGCTGTGTGTGTGTCAGAACATAAACCACATTTCTTACGTAACTGGAGTGCTCTAACAGACTTATATACACCACATCATATCATCATACCTCAGTACAATGTGCAGGTAGGTCCCCAGACCGGCAAATATGTGCCACCACGAGTGTAGCTGGGTCACATGACCCAGGAGGGGTTGGGAGCGACGAAATTCTCTGAGAAAAAATTAATGCATATCGTGGTAAAGAAATTATAGTACATGCATGGACAGCATTGTCTACATCCATGAATTTGCTATATAAAAGACCCATGACACACTTTAGTGGTAATGAACTGTTGGTTTTACCAGGAGATGATGTCATGGGGAAAGTACTGCAAGGAATTTACCTCAGGGTTAAGCAGAAGGCATTGTCGATATTCCACAGAATAAATCCAAATACGTACCTGCAGTAAAGAGGTTTGAAGTGCAGATTATTTTAAAGTTGAGAATAAGGTAAAATCTACGTCACATACTCGCTACGTTTGGGCAGACGGCTAAATGATGTTTGATTATGTAACCGGAAGACGCATTTCGCAGATTGTGAAATGCAGATATTGTGAGCCTGCGTGTGTCTCTGTCTGGGCACGTGAGTTAGATATGCGAAGTGGTTGATTATGGCTGTATTATGTAACGTCTTTTTAGGCATTACATAACGGTCTTAACTATAGGTGTTTTACTTACAGTCCCATAGAGATGGTGGCAAAAGTTGCAGAATGTTTCCAGGTAGAGTATTTCCTGCAATGGAAATAGTGCCTCAGTGTCTCAATGTGTATGCCCATGTGAGGAGGAAAGACCCTCAATTCAAGTCCATTAATTAGGAAAGGAAGTTGAATGGAAGATTATAGGAGGAAAGATGCACTACACCAGGTTTGCCCTGTCCGAAAGAAGAATACTATATAGAACAAATAAAAATATTTTGGGGAGCAAAGGCGAGAGTCACGTGGCATTGCGAAAATTCTCAGTTACAAGTATTTCTAGAGAAATACGTGAAAAATAGATGTGTATGCGTGATAGCGCCCGTGGCATGGTACATATAAGGAAAGATCTATATTCTCCCATTCAACTTAGGCTTGAATGGGTCTGAGGGTATGGCTGCTTGGTGGTGGGCTCCCGGGACGACATTAGGCTTGCTCTGCCTGCCAATCAGTACCAAGTCAAACTGGTCTGGAATGGAAAAAGGGTGGCACTCTACACTGTTTGCACAGATGAGAGGTTTCAGTTGAAGACTGATCCAGGATATTATTGGGGACAATCCTCAAAACATACCCACGAAATCCCACATGAGCTATATATACTATGTAGCCATAGGGTAAACGTAACAGTTCCGTCACCGCAAACCACACAGTATAGTAAACTTTTGGGGTAATATGTTTACATTTGGGACCCGTGGGCAGGAGGGACCTTTTCTTTCAGAAGGGACCTTTTCTACAGTGTGACACGCCATCTGTGAATTGGCGCCAAACTCCAGAAGTATAATGGCATGAATCACGGGGGTGTAAAAACAAGGTAACTGCATAGTATCAAACAATTCAATTACACCGACGAGGGTTAATTACACCTAGGACAACACTCGTTTAAAGGGGAAAACAGTTGCCCTAGGTGGGATTCGAACCCACGACACTCTGCTTGCTAGACGAGTGTTCTACCACTGAGCTACCGGGGCAGCTCAGCAAGGTGGGCTCAATATATGTAAAACACAGAACAACTGACAAACCACTCCGTGCTATGGCATGCGTATTATTATTAGCTACACTATGTACAGGTTGATCTATATACCTGACACAGTAGTAACCTTGTACAGTGGCCAGAAAAACCATGATGCTGTAGGCCACCTCGTGAAATGTCGGGTCATTGATGAATATGTATACCTGTGGTGAACAATTTCACAGAAAGAGTTTCATTGTAGGCTTTTGGAAGAAATATACACATAACGATAGAGAACCAGTGGCTATATATATAGAGCTGGCTTTTCTCTGTGTAGCTAATTTTGTGCTTTTTCGAGAGTTCAATAGTTGAAAGTCCTCTAGTGCCGTGGTGGCACCCTACAAGCTAGTACTTACAATGTCATGACAGAGACAAACGAAGAGACGTGAAGATTGATGACACACATGGTCCAATACATAAGCAATCTTTCCAGAGCTGATGAGGATACCAAATACCAGAGTGTGATATGTGTAAACATCTAACAAGAACCTCGTAGCACCCTTAAGGGGCATCACTGTATTATACCCTGCCAATCTCAGAGATTGCTTGTTTTGGTGTATATACAATAGTTAAATCTCATCGAGAAAACTTTGCACTTGGCTCTGAAACAGCTAGATTGACGTAGAAAGCTGCTTCTGGCACCGGATGTGCTGCAGACACAGCATAGGTTCAGAGAGGAAGTGGTGAAGTGTGCGTCATGCTGCATTGGTGAGTGGAGCGGTGGGGTTACCATGGATGTGATGGTAGGGTAGGCAATGAGAAATGCCGCAGTCACGTATGATGAGGTTCTCCAGTTACCCCGGTTACCCATCTCATAACTACGCAACAGGAAATGACAAGAAACGAGAAAGGAAATATGGATTACCAATTTTTAACAGCACGCAGCGGAAAGGACAAGTGAAACCACAGGAGAAGGAGAAAAAGGAAGCAAATAAACCCGGAATTCTGTGCATGAAAGCTATGACCGTTACGTATATACAGTGTATCGACTTACAGGGCAAAGAGAAGTAACGATGTGCAGACTAGCATCGGAAGTTCATCCAGCAACTAGAATAATATTCACACACTGCAATACAGGAATATGACGTAAATATTTGCTATGCTAATATACCTGCATTGAATACAGGAGAGTCCCATGAAAGAGTGTAGATCCTACTCCAACCACTAATATATAGTGGTATGCAGTGGAGAGACAATAGGAGAGAGGGGGGGCAACAAATGAAGAGAAAAGAGTGTGTAAAAGAGAGAGTACATTTGAAGAAGGGGGGGGGTATTTACATTTCATAATAGCAGCAATAGTAGTGTGTCTCTATAACGGGTGTACTGGTACAATTATACCTGTAAGAAGAGAGTGTATACTACTAGAGCAGAGCCTCAAACTTTACGGATCCATCTTAACTTTGATGTATTAGCACGCAGTGTACAGACAAAAATAATGGGAGAAGGTGCTCCAAAAGGTGTCGCAAGTATTACAACAAACGATGCATAAAGTACACAATGTGGATAACTATGCAAAAACTAAGGAAAATTTGAGGACTGGGTGAGCGGTGACTTTAAAAAAGTTAGCTGGAGGCACTGAAAGTAGCGTATGTAGCTAGCTGTCCTATGTGGATGCGTACCAAAGAGGCCAAAGTAGGAGAGCAGATAGCGCAACTCAAGTCCGTTTGTGGCGCAGCTCCACATCCCAATGAGACCAGGGAGAACCATGGCCATGTTGCTGAGTGTGTTCCCTTTTCGGAGGTGAGGTGGGGAGAGGTGGGGAGGGGAGGGGAAGAAAGGTTTTTTCTTGCCTGGCAATGGTATGACAGCACACATACATACATAATATGTACTCTTGGATACTGCACAAGCTCCACCTTGTTATATAGTTGCAAGATAATTAGCTGGGGCAGGATTCGATTTTAGCTAGAAATTCACATTGTTGTTATGCAAGAACATACAGAATTCTGCAACGTAGGGGCTCCACGCGTGGTTCTCCTCGCACCAGTCAAGCGTGGAGGTGGGTCGTCCCCAGTAGCCGACGACTGCATTCTGCTCTGGTGCAATGTACGGCGGCATAATTAATAGAGAGCGAGATTACGGACGTGCTCCGACCTTAGTATACGAACGTGCTCCGGAGACAACGATCTTGGTATACGGATAAACTTGTTGGTGCGCTTCATTTGGAGTTATCTCTGCCGATGGCGCAGCTAAAGCTGTCTTTACGTGAAGTGTAGAGAGGTTGTGACTTGTTAATCTACATGGACTAGCGAATCTGACGCACCCTCGAGGAGTGGAAGTCCCTCGAATGGCAGAGTACAGGGAAGAAGGCGCCTCCTCAGGCCTCCTGGAATCATCCAATGCTGCCGCTGTCCCGGCTGGGAACATAAGAGACGTTTCCGACGAGCTGACGCAGTTCGCGCCGTTCGAAGCGAGCAAGACAATCTCCCTGCCCTACCGCGGGGACCCCAGCAAACGCCCGCAGGTGGAGATCAACGATGGTAGCTACCTCGGCCAGCCCAAAGTGCTCTTTAGGAAACTTCGACAGGGTGACCCGTCCAGGCCAGGAGCCGGGATCAGGGGCAGTCCGGACCCGGAGCTGAACCGCAGTGCTGGTGGGGGAGCCGCGGGGAAGAATAGGGTGAGAGTGCAGGTAGTGGGAAGTGGTTGGCAGGAGGAGAGAGAGGGAGGAGCGGGAGGGAGAAGGGGAGGAGGGAAAGTCGTCGACCCCGAGAGTGGGAGAGTTACAAAGTCCCTCGTACTCAATCGTATTGGGACTCTTGGAAAAGACCAGGTATGCATATATTTGTGTGTACATATGATATAATATGTAGCTTGCAGAGTGTTTTAGAGATTGGATTGGGGGGCGTATCTCAAAAAGTTACAAGCACTATGATTGGATGTTGTAGCTACAGCAATCCTATGTTGCATTACTGTGTATTTGATACAACACTGCTCAGTGTATTACAAGTGTAGACCTGTTGTAACCGTGTACTTTAGCCTCTAACTCTCCCGTCCTTTTCACTTCTGCTGTGCAAATACACGCACAGCGTGTAGGGCTGCATTTAGGTCGCTTGTGAGGACCATCGCACAATATTTTAACGCTACACGATTCGTGTACGTATGTGCACCAACGTTCTTAAGCTTTGGCACCTCTGTACAATCCAGTTTGCAACACCCTCTGTAAATGCATCCCATGTGAAACTACACTGTGCCGACTTTTTCACATCATATTCATGTACCCAGTAAGTGTATGTACAGGTTATGCAGCAGAGTGTCTATTTGCTTTTCTAGGTGCTCGATGGTGTACTGAACCATTCAGTATGTACAATAATTATGTATTGTGTATTGGTGCAGCACTTCCGTATGTCTAACTCAGCGCATTGTATAGCTATCCATCTTTCTTCGTTTCTCTCTCTTTCACTTTTTCCACTCGTTTTTCTCTCCCCATATTCCATTCTCCGTCCGTTATTCCTTCCTTTCTCTTCCCCTCTCTTCCTCCTTGATTCAATAACCCTCCCTTTCTCCCTCCCTCCCTCCCTCCCTCCCACTCCTCTCTTCTTTTTCCCTCTCTCACTCTCCCCTCTCCCCAAAAGGACTCAAGACACGATCTGAAGAGGTACTGGATGCCAGACAGTGCCTGTAAGGAGTGCTCCGAGTGCGGTACAAAGTTCAACATCATCGTTAGGAGGCACCACTGTCGTATCTGTGGGAGGATTTTCTGCAACGCTTGCTGCTCTCTCACTATCCCAGCCATGAAACTAAGACCTGATCTTCAGGTAAACATTTGGTAATGCAGTGCCTACATGTGTTTTGGTACTATAAAGCATTTGGCTCCTCCCCGAACTGGCGTCGTCCCACTTTTAAAGCACTAAGACAGGGGTCTCCCATGCGGAATCCATTAGCTTAAATATTCGGACATGGTTTACTAACTTAATAATTATGGTTAGTCAAAATTTCTTTACACTCACTGCGTGCACTAGAGCCTGAGTTTGCATTCATGACTGTGAAGAAGCCTTCACTCATCTGGTCTGTGTTGTTCCTGCATTCTGCAGCCGAAGACCCAAACTTTTAAAGGGAAAATTATGTGGCAAATATGAATTTCACGAACAAAACCTTCGCACATATTGCCTTATATCCCCATGGCATCATAAAACACTCCCAAGTTATTAAGCTCTCTACTCGAAAGTTTCCCAACTCTATGTTCCATCTCAGGGCAACCTGAGAGTGTGCAAAGAATGCCTCGAGATATTTCAAGAGTTTCAAACCATCAAAAGACCCGAGGGTTCAGTGCTCACCTCTGACCCATCCTCTGCCAACTCTAAACCAGCTCCAACTTCTGCCTCCTCCTCCCCTCCTCCGCTGCCCCCGCATCTTCCTCGGGCGTCGCCACAAAGATGCGCAGCGTGTCCGGCAGTTTTCAGAAGAACGTTGCTGTTGCAGGAGAAGGCGGTGGTAGTGGTGCTGGTGTTGGGGGGAACGGTGGTGGGGGAGGAGGGAGTGGTGGAGGAGGGGAGGCGGGGGCCATCCGACGCACCGGTAACGGGAACCACGCCCGGGTGGTCACCCGCCAGTCCGTGGCGACCGTGCTGAGCCCTCACATGTCGTGGGATGATGCCAGTTTGGGGAGGAGCCAGGACGACCCGCCCTCTGGCCTGGCTCGAATGGACTTTGGGTTTGATAACCCAACGTCGCTGAGACCAAAGGAGAGTTTTGAGTCTCTGCACGAGAGAGACGAGAGGCTAATGGCCCTCAATGAGGTACATATGTATGCTCCTACGTGTAAGTGATGAGTTTCTGTGCTGTACAGAGTTAGGGGTTTGCCTTTGCCTTGTATTGCACACATTGTGTCCCGGTCTGCTGAGCTGCCCTTGGTATATAGCTTAGTGGTAGAGCACTCGTCCAGAGAACAGAGTGCCGTGGGTTTGAGTCCCACCTAGAGCAGCTGTATTTCCTTATGCACGTGTACACCCCATGGTTCGTGCTATTAGGACCAAGTTTTAACTTAACTCCTCGATTGCTGTCAGTGTAAGTGAAGTGAACCTCTATTATTGTGCTGTGCACTGTCTGCACCAGTATAATGCTCCCAGTGAACCTCTATTATTGTGCATGTGCAATGTCTGCACCAGTATAATGCTCACTAACAGCTATATATACATCAGCAGTTGGGTCGCTCCTGCTCGCCAAACATGCTCAGCATTTATTAACCCTCGGCGCGCATGCGCAGCGAGGGTTACTGTAGTCGTTTGTGTGTCTGTGTGTCTGTCTACGACTATTCTCGCACTACAGGCAACGAGGCGGCTTATGAGCGATTCCTATAGCTTTAGTGGTACATGGGCTAGAAAAATAAAATGGTGATTTTGCTGAAACGACTGCGTTCGAGAGCGACAAACTGAGCGACAAACTGGCACGGTCGCGGACAGCGTTGCGTGGCCCAACCCATCAATAAGCGGTGCGCATGCGTGTATTAGACGTCTCACCTCGACTTGATCCGCTTGCTCTGTGTACCTTTGAGGCACAAGAAGCCACAGCGAAGGGTGTGTATCGACTCCCGCATGCTATCTACTACTGTAGCTAGCCAGTGTCAGACTCTCTGCGAGCTACTAGCGGGAGACCGCGCCAATGCAATAGCCCATTAGCGGTACCGCGCATGCGCAGTTCGCCGAGGGTTTGCACTTTAGTGCTTTTCATCTAGTATTGTGAATGAGTGTCATTTACCGGTTAAAGCTGTCTGACCAACCAGTGTGCAGCATTCTATGTATGTATGTATGTATGTATGCAACATATGGGATATATAGATCACATGCGAACCAATCATGGAAATGCGTAATTGCTTGTGCTTACTTGCCAAAATGCATACGTAAGCTAGGTTCACATAGAGCTCTGAACTACAGCAGCGGACTCTTAAGTTTTGCAACTTGTCCTGATCAAGTTGCGTTCCGCCAGTATAGTCTGTGTACATGTGTGTATGTTTGTACATATAGGATGAAGTGGAGTACGTGATAACAGAGGTGTGGTTCCAGCTCATCACTCCGGGCAGTGGTATTAGCCCCCAGAACCACAGATACAGGTCTGTCTGTACTCATGGTAATACAGGGTGGGAGCACACACATTCCTTCAGGAATAGGACAACTGATATTATACCTGCCAGTAGAGATAGAGTGAAAACTAGGAAGAATTCACACAGACGTTGGGGTTTTAAAGCCCTCGACAACACTATGTGGATAGGCATGTTTGTGTAGTGGGATCTACCGCATTTTGTTTTGGTCACTGTACATATCTCAAATTTTTCCCTTCTATACGCAGTGTATATACATTACTCTTAAAAAGACGAATGCCTCAGAGTGAATAACTATAAAACCTGTACGAATGAATGCCCTCTCTACAACCAGCCTAGAGTGTATGCTTTAAATTCATCTGGATTCTGGATTCGTCTTTTCTTTTCCGTAACTTACTGTGCAGGTTGAGAACGTTTCAAAACACATTTTCAGCGGCCGGGATCATAGCCTGGCTACTGAGGACTGGCCATGCCTCCAACAGGTATGTACATGGCAGTACTGTACTCTTTATAGACTGGTGGTGGAACTATTGCAGAGCTAGCACCAGAGATGGTGCCATTAACCGCAGATTACTATTTTGGTGTGAAAGTTTCCCCTGCACAAGATTTAGTAGCCTTGTACCCAAGCTCTCCCCCAGCTAGTTGTAAATGTGAGATTGCGTGTGTCTGTCTTCCCAGAGTCGGTGCGGTTGCTATGGGCCAGGCACTGGTGGACACGAAGCGACTCCAGGTCGTCAGTTCCCTGGACAACCAGTTCAAGGACGAGCAGAACCTGTTTCTCGAGTTTGGCCAGGCGGCGCACATGGGTTCCGAGCAACTGGTTGAGAGTGCGACTGATCTCGATGCCCCCACATGGTTCCAGAGACTGCCAGAGAACGGAGACTCTGAGGCCGAGCAGAGCCAGCGTGGCAACCTCGACAGACTGAGCGTCAGGTAATTATTGGCTCCCCATCATATATAGTAGTTTAGCAAGCATATTAATATATCCTTTGACACACGGATGTCTCCAGAACAAAATGTTGAGAGCGATTGAGAGGGTTGGAGAGTAAATAATACCGAGGAGGGGAACAAGTTGATTTAGTTCATGCATTTTTTGTCTGTGTATGGTCAAACTTCTTACTCTAGCTCTATTGCATTCACGAATGCTCACATTTGCGTGTGTCCATCTTCATACAGAGTAGTGTACTGTTCAGCTTACAGTGTATGCATCCTATGACGAGAACCCTTTGGGTATTTCGATACGTCCATGTATACAGGTATAATAGAGGAAGGGGATCGTTCATGAACAGCCTGCAGCCGACGATCACCATCTCCTCCATGTCTGAACTGACAGGAGTAGCCGACTCCGAGTCAGTACTCCCGCAGGAGAAAGAGCACTACTTTGTCGTCAACCAAGACAAACTGGCCGTCGAACAGTCCTGTGGCAGTAGCGGCAGTGAACTAAAACTCTCGCTACACGGAGAAGAACACTCCATGTCCCCCGGTCCCTCCACCCCTCCCCCCTCACTCTTTCCCATGGCCTTTGACCCCACCTCCCCCAACTACAACAACAGCTTCACTGTGGTGAGCGACCGGGACATCATGAAGGCTCTTCCGGTCGGCGGGCTCTCGGCCGCCGCTGACACGGCGCAGGACCTCGAATTCGAGAACGGGAAGGACATCAAAACAAACAACGAGGCCCGAGCTGTCTTCGAAAAGGAGCGTGCGCTTCACTTTGACTCGATCATGATCCAGTTGATCAAGTCGTGCGGGATATCGCTCAGTTGGCTCAAAGTGATCAAGCCACTCATCAAAGAGGCTGTTAGGAAGGTGAAGACAAATGTCTACTCCACAGACACCATGGATATCACACAGTATGTGAAGGTAAAAAAGATCCCAGGTGGACGAAGGGCCGACTCAGTACTGGTCAACGGAGTGGTGTGCACAAAGAACATAGCCCACAAGAAGATGAAGATCAGCATCCGAAACCCGACCGTACTCCTCCTAAAGTGTGCCTTTGAGTTCCAGCGGAAGGAGAACCAGTTGTCATCGTTTGACACCCTCCAAATGCAGGAGGAGAAGTACCTCAAGAATCTGGTGGCCCGCGTCAAGACCTTCCAACCTCGCGTCATCCTGGTACAGAAGTCCGTCGCCCGCATTGCACTGGAGATGTTCTTTCACCTTGACATTGTGGTTGCCGTGAACGTGAAGCCCTCCGTGATGGAGAGGGTGGCTCGGAGCACGCAGGGGGACCTTCTCCACTCTCTGGACCAGCTGTTCTTCAACGTCCGTCTAGGAACCTGCGGGCACTTTCACGTCCGCGACTTTGTCCTCCCAGACAGAGTCAAGAAGACGTTGATGTATTTCAACAACTGTGACCCACGGCTCGGCTGCACCATCACCCTAATGGGGGGCTCCCGACGAGAGCTCAAGAAAGTCAAGAAGGCCACCCTCTTTGGCGTGTTTGTCGCTTACAACTCGCAGCTCGAGACGTCGTTTCTGATCGACGAGTTTGCCTGGCCGACGGCCGCGGACCACGACAACCTCCATCTTCTCCCAGATACGGAGGAATACTCCTCTGCCTCCAGTACCCCGGAGTGGCCACTCCATCCCTCTGTCTCCTACCCCGTCGAAGGAATCTCCCCGGCCGAGCTCACCAGGAAACTGGAGGCTCTTGTCCCAGAATACAAGGCAGAGTGCGAGCCTCGCGAATCCTCGTTGAGGTCGACTCCATCCTTGCCCCGTTCCAGTGTGGGGAGCCTGAGCTCAAATGCGAGCCCACTGCTATCCAACGCGCGGTCCTATTCCGTGAGTGGGACACGGGGTGAGAGTCTGACAGTAGTAGCAACGGAGACGGTCCACGATGAAGATAGTGAGACCACACTGAACCCTGCACCAAATACTTTCCACTCGGTCGACGACGTCCGATCGAGGAGCGATCCCCACCTTACAGCTATTCCCTTCGTCCCCGACTCTGCCACTCTCTCCGTTCTCGGGAACAAGGAGTTCGAAAAGGCGCTGAGTCTGCAGGTCCTCTCGATCTCCCCCGGAGTAAAATTCCCCGTCCCATACCTCCAGACACCTCAGGGCTTTGCGGCCGACGCCAGAAACTACCTCCCCTCAGTAATCTACTGGTCGTACCTGTTTCAGGCTGCCGTTCAGGCCTCTCTGAAGAAAATTGCTCCTCTGAACTCCACCGAGAACTTGGAGATGGGTATAACGGCAAAGACTGTTTCAGAAGCTGTTCCTGGGAGTGAACCTCAACCTCCCCTTCCCCAGCAAGTTTCTCCAGTTGAGACGAGCACCCAGTCGACTCGGTCTTACCGCAGCATCTCCGAACACCCCTTCACCACCTCCATTTTCCTGCTCAAGGCCAACACCAACGAGATGAAGGCCGCGCTGGCCGACTACCGAGCAAACTCGGGGGTCGCGAACCCGTCGCACGAATTCTTCTTCCCGACCGCTTTTCGGGCTTCGGACTACCGGCAGCACCTGCAGAACGTCTTCAACAAGTACCAGCAGTTTGAGCTGTCGTGGTCTCGTGGGAGGGCCGGTGAGGCTAAAGAGGTGGCAGGTTGGAGAGAGAAAAGCTGTGACAGCATAGATGGTGGTGACACCAAAGCGCATGATCTGGACGGTGAGAGTCTGACAGGTTCCGAAGAAGCCGGGGAGAAGAAGCAGCGACTTCGGCGTCGGACAAGGAGACACAAAACGCCGTCATTCACTGGGTCGGGGGCGAGAGAGGGGTCAGCAATTAGAGAAGGGTCAGGGGTGAGGGAAGGGTCAAAGGTGAGAGAGGGGTCAGGGTTGAGCTGTGACAGTGGTGTTGGGAGGGCAAGCGAGGTGATGATGCTCACGTCGTCTGAGGCTAAAAGTCAACAGGAGGAGAAAGAGGCCGAGAGGCTGTTGGCAGGTCTTCAAGAGAGTAGTGGTAAACACAATGGTGAGTATATGTAGACCAGAGTCGATGCCTCCTTTTCACACTGCTTAGTTATTGTTTTCTAGTGTGTCGAATTGCATGCTCTAGTAATAACCCTCAGGTCCCATGCATGCCTCCCTTATATGGAGGGTGAGTATGAGATACGTGCCTTATAATACTAGTCCATATGAGAGTGAGAGAACGGGTAGCTGGCCAGTTTTTGTTTCTTCCGTGCTTGCGTCTTTTACAATACACAATTTTTTTGCACATGTGTCGCATATTGTGCAGAGGGTTGTAGCACTATGGTGCCTTTCATCACTTCATTTGTGCACGTGGCTGTTATTATCAGCCTACTAAACCTCTTACTACATACATGTTCTATGTGAATATGCCAGAGAGTAGGGGGTCCACTCCACTGAGGACTATGGGAACAGCCTCTTACTGCATGTTCCATGTGAATATACCAGAGAGTAGAGGGTCCACTCCACTAAGGACTATGGAAACAGCCCACTAAACCTTTTACTGCATGTTCTATGTGAATATACCAGAGACTAGGGGTCCACTCCACTAAGGACTATGGGAACAGCCCACTAAACCTTTTACTGCATGTTCTATGTGAATATACCAGAGAGTAGAGGGTCCACTCCACTAAGGACTATGGGAACAGCCCACTAAACCTTTACTGCATGTTCTATGTGAATATTATACCAGAGACTAGGGGGTCCACTCCACTAAGGACTATGGAAACAGCCCACTAAACCTCTTACTGCATGTTCTATGTGAATATACCAGAGAGTAGAGGGTCCACTCCACTAAGGACTATGGGAACACTGGACGACATCGACAGAGACTACTCCAAACTAGTGCCACAGACACCCGAAGACGAACTGTTAGATCTCCATGGAAACGAAGAGAAAGCCACACCTCTTCCGGTTCATTCCGACCACCTTGTGACCCTCTTCCCTCCGTACCAGGTAGAGTTTATATGTATAGCAGGAAGGCAGGAAAGTTATGTAAGTACCCTTTCTCATATGTGCCATACTTGCATTATTAGGCCCCCCCTCCAATTGCTTTTTTTGCTAAAACCCTGACCCTAGCCCTAACCTCCAGAGGAGGTTGGAAGTGAATGCGTAATTTTGCGTTGGAAGTGAATGTGTAATTTTGCCAAATAGTCACATTTTCAGGCATTGTGGAGAGGTACATATGCTCGGGGTACGGGTCTTGTTTTCCACAGCCTTTTGTACATACAACAACACTCTGTTGGTGATTTCTGAGTTCAGTAATTCGTATGGAGTTGTGCTCCATAAACCTGCTATATATCACGTGACTTGCCCACGTCATCTTCAAACCTCCTCTGCCTAACCTCCTAGAATTGTCGCATAAATACAGCTCCAGCAAAGTTTCTGCAGCGGTTAGTGGGCATTCATTGGTATATTATGTGGAGCTTTATTCCCTGTCTTTTCCCTCTTCTCTCTCTCTCTCTCTCTCTCTCTCTCTCTCTCTCTCTCTCTCCCTCCCTCTCTCTCTCTCTCCCTCCCTCTCTCTCTCTCTCTCTCTCTCTCCCTCTCTCTCTCTCTCCCTCTCTCCCCCTCCCTCCTCGTGCGTATGCAGCAGGTTGACTGTATGGACCCCATGAACCACCAGAGTATCGCCATCCTCTTTAGCAGCACCTGCCACGATGGACAGCGCCACCAACTTCCCTGTGTGCCTCCCTGGTCAGCCCCCACTGATCAATACATTCATGATCCACACACAATGCAGACAGCTCCCCTGTGTGCCTCCCTGGTCAGCCCCCACTGATCAATACATTCATGATCCACACACAATGCAGACAGCTCCCCTGTGTGCCTCCCTGGTCAGCCCCCACTGATCAATACATTCATGATCCACACACAATGCAGACAGCTCCCCTGTGTGCCTCCATGGTCTGCCCCCACTATCATAATCCTACCACAATGCACTATGCAGTTTAGATAGCTCCCCTGTGTGCCCCCCTGGTCAGTCCTCACTGACACTCACATTCCTACCACAATGCACTATGCAGTTTAGATAGCTCCCCTGTGTGCCCCCCTGGTCAGTCCTCACTGACACTCACATTCCTACCACAATGCACTATGCAGTTTAGATAGCTCCCCTGTGTGCCCCCCTGGTCAGTCCTCACTGACACTCACATTCCTACCACAATGTACTCTGCAGTTTAGATAGCTCTCCTGTGTGCCCCCCTGGTCAGTCCTCACTGACACTCACATTCCTACCACAATGCACTATGCAGTTTAGATAGCTCCCCTGTGTGCCCCCATGGTCAGCTCTCATTGCACTTGCCTTCCAGTTTTCCCATAATTATGCTAATCAGCGAGCCAGTAATACGTACCTAGTAATAACGACTGTTCTTCAAACTACACTAAAAATCAATACTGTCACGCAACTTGGTTTTAGTAAGAATCCAGGGACGTGTGTCTGTGTGTGTTTACGTTGCTTAAAATGTACAAACCTGTACATGTCATCATGTACTGTAACTGCTCTATAAGGTTCTCCACATGGTAAAATCCACTACACTAGAAGCAAATGTACGAACGCAAGTCACAGAGCTTGCGGTTTCTATACACACAGGTAAAATTCGTGCATGTGCATTTTTCAAGCGTGGCATACACTCCAGATTATATCTTGCACCAATCCCTAGGCCAGGCTTTGTCCTGCGAAGTATTGACTCAACTCGCAGTCTTCAGATGTACAAAACTCGCCTGCATATGCACATAGGCTGGTTTTGCTTGCTTGTCACTCTAGTTACTCTCAACCACTTGTTTCATTACCTCGTGGCTCTACTTCCCCCCCCTAGTGTGATCCAGATGCAGTACTACGGACACAACGACATCTCCCTGGGCGACTTCCTCAAACGCTACTGTTTCCGGCCGGACTATCGCTGCCAGACGTGCGGCTCCGAGATGACGAGACACCAACGGCACATCATCCACGGGACGGCCGCCCTCCACATCAGCGTGCAGCACCTGGACATAACCATCCCTCGCTCCAACGACGGGATATTCACGTGGCTGGCCTGCAAACACTGCACACTCGTACGTCACTCTACTGACGCACAATGTGTAGCTCAGTGGGTAGAGCACTCAGCTCTAGACTGCAGAGTGTCATGGGGTCATATCTTCTTTTCCTTCAGAGTATTCTGAGTGTACTGTATTGCGTTGTTTGCCTTGCGACCTCATTGCTAAATAAATGTATAATGATATAGGAATGGAAAGGGAGATAAGAGGTACGAAGTATGGTTTGCAAATGCTTAAGTCCATCACACAATCCTATATTGTCATCTGGTGATGCCACTCTCGAGCTCTATATGTGGTTAAATGTTTAGCGAGGGTTATAGTACTTAGTCAGTGTGTGTCTGTCTGTATGTTACCGCGGCCAGTAGCTGATACCAACAGATTCAGGGCTACACTGGCTTGATTTTATTATATACATCTTTGTAAAACTACTGCGTTCAAACGGTAGGGTGTTAAATCGCCCAATATGCTAATGGAATTCTGCTCGGTTTGTGCACTATTGAAGTATCATAATTTCCCCCTGTCTCGTCCCGCACACATCTGCAGTGCACGTCCTACATCAGGATGGCCGACAACTCCCTCCTCTTCTCCTTTGCCAAGTTCCTGGAGCTCAAGTTCCACTGCGACGAGTTTGTCACCAGACTGCACAGCAAGACGGACGACGCCTCGTGCCAACACAGTCTTCACCCCCACTATCTCCACTACTTCAGCTTTCGCAACAAGATAGCCTGCTTCCAGTGAGCCACCACGAATGCATAACCACCCACCACTCTTTCCTTGTTTTTTTAAAACTAGTATCTTCTCCAATGATTTTCTTCTCTCCTGTGAATGACATACTGCTACAAATTTTATCGGCTAAAACAATTTTCATTGTATATACCTCACAATTTTTATTGTATGTAGCATTCTGCTGTACGTTTACAGATGCTTAATGATACTAGCAACGCAATGTTGGCGAGCAGCAAATGTGAGTGTGTAATGAGGGTTAATGTGTATTTAGAGCTACGTAAAACAGTGGATGGACAGTGCCATCCTTGGATGTAGAGTGGTACCTCTGAACAAGGGACACTAGGAGGCCAACGGAGTTTGTCCCTTGTAGAGAGGTCGTCTTAATCTCGGAGGTCGAATAGCACATGGGGTTAAAACAAGTGTCCTTTTAGAGAGGTTGTCCGTATCTTGGATGGTCCCTTGTCGGAGGTTCCACCAAAAAATTGTGCAATTCGCTCACCAATTAAAATTCCAAGCATGATTGAGTGGAGTGGTGCCTCGCGACAGTGGGATAGAACCACAGATATGGTGCGACTGTAGTCAATCGGGCGCTCTCGTGTTCAAGAGTATTCCTTAAAAACACAAACTGCCAGAATGTGGCAGTAGATAATTACTTGTTGACATGGAACTATACCGCGAAATGCTCCTTTTTTAGTAAAAGCTACTGTCACATCATTCCCTTATCAATCCCTCGCAGACCGGCTGAGATCTCCATCCTCGAGTTGAAGATTCCACCGATTGTGGTAGTGATCAACACACCTCACTCGGAGTACCACCACAGCTTCTCCAAGGAGATCAAACACATTGAGCACATGTGAGTCACAACACACTCTACATTATTTCTATAGCTGTGGAAGTCAAGAAGTATTTTTACCAAATTGATTGAAGTAGTTCTTTAACCCATTGATGGTACTTTGTTAGCTAGAGGCTGACACCGTAATACTGATGGTGTTTAAAGTTCAGTGACTCTCAAGGAAATGTATGACTGGTGCATCGTGAGTATCGGTCACATTTGAAGGGAGAAATTTTGCACAGCAATCCACGAAACCTTTCTCCATCAAAATTTGTGGGCAGAGAGTTCAATTCCGCACAGTTTTCTCTGCAAAATTCTCTACCGAATCACGAATGCTCTCCCTTGAAAGTTCCCTATGTCGTGCTCTGTCCTTCTACTAGACAACACTACTCTCCTCGAACTCATCCCCTCGTCCCTCCCTCACCCCATCGGTGGACTGCCAGTACTGAAGGGACAAGTGTGCTACAGAACAGATCAAACAGCGATCTCCAGTCGTACACACAATCGAGCCTGTCGCTGCTCGTCGCACGGAGCAGCCATGCCAGGTCAAGGTACATACAGTATATACTGTATGTATTGATAATTGGCCAGCGGGGGCGAGCCAACCTAGTCTCCCCAACGGGAAACTGTGGGTGCTGCTGTCTATCATAACGTTTATAATATGATATGTCATGCCGCAAGCGCATGTGCAACACCATTTTACGATTTTTTCACGTGTGCATGCCTGTGCTTTGCCCGTCCATGTCTCTCGTGATATATGTAATGGAGAAGCTAGCAACTAAAACATCCAGAGATTGGAGCCGCTACATGTGGAGTGTACGTGTGCTGTTTGTTGTCTCAGGGAGAGAGAGACGCATTCCGAAGTCGTATCAAGCTGCTGAAGGAGAAAGTGGTGCAGGGAGGATTCCTGGAGTCAGGTGGGGAGGAGATGAGCGACGAGAGACAGGAGGCCGAGTTTGCCGCTCTCCAGGACGGTATCGCCGAGATAAAGAGAGCGCTCACCGAGTTTGTCAGCTGCTGGAACATTGAGTGAGGGTGCAATATTGTAGTAGTAGTTATTGGCGACCGTAGCCCTAGCCCTACCTAGTCTGAATGCGGGATTTTTCTGTGTTGTGACCCACACTGCTGCACTGCACATGTACCATAATGTTTTAACATCATTGTTAATACGCGCAAAAATTGAACTGCTCGTGTTTGCTTCCCAAAAATGCTTGCTTCGTT